CTGGATACACTCAGCCTCTGTCTCCTATCAAAAAAGAACAGACCTCCAAGAGATAATGGTCAAATATGACAGAACAAACTATAATCAGACAAGGCAAAAGCCTTCATTACAATCTTGAAAAGACAATCTGACAGGAGGAAAGAACTCCCAAGAGCAGGCAAAAGAGGCAAAAACATACCTGCTCCCACAGTTAGGAGACCCACAAAACCAGGAAGCTAACACCCACAAAAGGTGCATGAAGTACCTTGTGTAGGACTCATACAGGACCCGTGATTACCTCTTCAGTCTCCATGAGCCCATAGGTGCCCTGTTTAGTTGATTCAGTGGGCCCTGTTCTCCTGATATTTTCTGTCCCCTCTGATTCCTACAATTCCCCCCTCCAACTTGGAATTACCTAAACTCTGAGAGGAGCTTCCCAATGGAGTCCCATTGTCTCTGCACAATGTCTGGCTGTTGGTCTCTGTATTCCCTTCAATCTGGTTCCACAGGAAGTTTCTCTGGTCCTCTGATTTTTCCTAACAGAAGCTAGTGGGAGACTGATGATTGCTTGCTCCAGTGTGATCTCCAATGTGGGTGAGCTTTTTATTTCTTTTTCTAATGGGTATGTTTTTTATGACTTATATGTTGTAGACATCCAGGACAGAAAACCTGAGCAGAATTTATAGGTCCTATGGTAAAATCCATTCACAGAGGTCAGAAATGCTATAAAAACCCTACATCTGATATAAATGTCTCTGAGTAATATTCATCCTTAGGTATTAATCAGTGTATACATCAGTTTTGTGTATGTGTTCATAGGTATTTGCTCCATTGTATGAGTCCATGTTTTTGCTTGAGATAGACTTCTAAGTCTGGCATCTTTCTCAGTCATTCCTCTTTACTTAATGAGGTAGCATCTCTGAATAGAAAGCTCACAATTCAGCTATTCTGGATGACCAGCAATCCTCCATTCCTCTGGTATCTATCTGCCTTTCTTGTGCTAGGATTACCAGTGTATGCCACAGTGCCTGGCTTTTTGCTTGGACTATGGAGATTCAACTCAGTTCTATATACTTATATGGCAAGATGTCACCAACTGAGCTATCTACTTATCTCACTCAATCAATTTCAAGGAACTTTATTTTCTGCAAGAAGTCAGTTATGTCTGGAAACAAAGAAGATTGAGAGATAGGGGATAATGAGTTATGAAGAGACTCAAAAATTTAAATCTTAGAATTGAGCTGTATATGTTGGTAACTTTACCGCACACAGAAGATAGTGGGAGGAGGATCAGGAGACAGGGGCACCCTTACCTACAGAGTTAATTGTAGCTCAGCCTGAGTTACATGAGATTCTGTCTTAAAATGTGTGTGTGTGTGGATACCCTTCCTTGTTATTTTTTTTTTTTAGGTTGTGATGGGACACCTACTGAAACAGTTTACCTGACGTAATTGAAGCTCACCAATTCCAGCCAGACCAGGAAAGAACCAGCATAGCACCAAAATGGACCCCATGAATGTGGGTAAGAGTTGTATGGCTGGGGCAGACTGCGGGGCCACTGGCAGTGGCACCAGGATTTATCCAGACTGCTTGTACTGGCTTTTTTGGTAATCCATTCTCTTTGTATGGATACCTTGCTCAGCTTAGATACAGTAGGGAGGGCCTTGGGCCTTCCCCAAAGCAATGTGCTTTACACTCTCTGAGGAATGGATGGGGAGTGAAAAGGGGGCGGGGAGTGGGGATCTGGGATTAATATATAAAATAAAAATTATAGTTTCTTTTCTTTCTTTTTTTAAAATTAAAATAAAAAATGTGTGGGGAGAAGCTTCACATCCACTTAAGAAGCAATACGTGGCCTCCTTTGAAGTCCAATTCAAGAGCAGCAGCAATAAAAAGATACTTTTGGAAAGTTACTGATATCAGATCAAAATTGTTCTGTTATAGGGCATTATTTCTCTTTGTGCTTTTCTGAGGAAACGTCTGATTTAGAGGTGAATTCTGAAGTGTGTAGTGATAAAATGATATAACTCAAATTGCACAGAGATATACTGGCCAAACGTGGAACTAATAAAGATTCAAAAATATTTATCTAGAGAGACAGGTCAATACAGTTGAATACTGGATAAAGATTTAAGAGAGACAGTTAAACCAGAAGAAATATAGATGTCGCAAGAACCCTTATTGTGAGACTGCTTACCAGGGCTTGATACAAGGTAGTCAGAGAAAAGACTTAAGCTGGGAACCAGAAGCTGTCTTAACTTGAGAATACAAGTAGAGAGACAAAATGTTAAGTCTTCAACTTCAAACTCTGAGATCAAGGCTTAGTTTTTATTGGAAAGCAGGTAGAATATAGGTGAGGAATTAAATAATTCCTGTGTGATTTTAGTATAAAGGAGAACCTATGTCCCATTTTCTGATTGCATGTGTGGACTTGGGAGGGCAACCATGAACACAGTTTTTATGTTGTGTGGGATTTCCTTTCCGAAAGGATATATCAAACTTGAATCTAAAATGCAGGGGTAGGGAAGAGCTTCATGGGAACCCAGAGAACAGCATCAGAGCGCGATAGAATGCATTCTTCATGAGAAAAACGTGAGGGCGCACTGAAGATGAGGGGTGAGTGAGTCAGGCAAGGATGTGGAGCGGCAACAGGTCAGGAGATTTGTAAGAGGTCAGTAGATTTGTAAGGGAACAACTCCGGTGACCATGCAGAGCTGGGAGATGCAAAGTTAGGAGACTGGACAGGTGACAGGAAGCAGGTAAGAAAATGTGATGTATCGCCCAGAAGAATTGCTTCTTGTGCTGATGAATTTTGAAATTTATTTATCATTGGGTTTATCCCTTAAAATATTCCCTAAGCAAAGATGTCTGTGTGTGAGAAGGGACTAGAAAGCTGTTTGCTAGGCTAGTCCCTGGGGGGTTGGCTTTAGGTCAGGACTTGTATGGACTGGTTGCTGACAACCTGAGCTTGCAGGCTTGGGGAACATGATTGCTTCTGTCCGCCTTTCGCCGTTTTTCAGTCCTCCACCCTCCAAAGAACAGTAGGTTGTTTTTTGTTGTTTGTTGTTGTTGTTTCTTGTTTTTTATTCAATTTGCTTAAATTTTCGGGCTTAGGTAAATTCTCCATATCAGAAATTCAGACTGACAGCTTACATTGCCAGCTAGTGTCCACTAGGTGGAGGCTGCGAACAGCCTGCTGGGAAGCTGAGCACCGGCAGGGTCCGCAGCTGCGCAGAGAAAGAAACGGAGGGTCTTAACCAACAAGGTCGGCCTCTCTTTGGGGTGAAAACATTGGCAGGAGGTAAGCCTTGAGATCCCTGGACTGCAACCCATGGTGGGTAGCCAGAGGGATTCGCTGTAGGAGGGTGGGTGGAAAGGCCCTGCGCCATGGGCACTCTTTGCTGGGCTCTCCATTGTCATTTGCTCTCTCTTGCTTTGTACTATGCGGTGTACGCAGAACATCTTCGTGGTTTTCCCTGGGCCTCGAAATCGTAACATGAAATTTGACGTTTTTCTTCTTTCGTATTTCTCCTCCGTTTCCCTTATCAAGCAATACTATGAGAAACTGTGTTTTTATTGTTCGATTATTCTCAAAAAATTTTGCAAACGGAAAGAATTGCCATATATGGGTATACTTTTCTCTAATGTTGCTAAAGAATAATATCTGGCTATTTAAAGGATCTATTTCTGCATGTCCTAAAGCAAAGGTTGTGCTTGGGGTTTGATGCGTACCTTGTTATTTTTGCATGTTTCTGTTATGCAACTTATTCAACTAACAGTATTCCCTTGAAAAACTACATTATCGTTGTTTAATTCGGTTTCTAAAATATGCTATTTGATTAAATTATTCCTTTTGGATTTCATAGGATGAAAAAAATCAGGTAGGAATTTAGGTCCTTTTTTTTTTCTAACCTGCATCCTAACATTTAGACTTTGTTTGAATTCCTGATGCTACAAGGGAACCTATGCTAATTGTGTTTGTTCTCTGCCAAAGCGTAAGATCCATCATTTCTGTATAGACTAACAGTTTCTTTCAATGAAGATTCTATTAGAGAAGAAAAAAATTAACACCAAGTATATTTGTATCCACAACTATGTAAAAATGTGACCTCATGTCTGATCAAATCCAGTTACATAACATATATTCATTTACTTGAAATATCAAGCCAAAGATACATGCAGTGGTGGCAGAATCAGAAGTTTGTACTGAGGAGGCAATGTTATCAACTAAATACAGTGTTCTCAGATACACTCCCTTTTGGGGTTGGAATCTTCACTTACTTCCTATGCTGCCTGGATCAGATCCCCTTTCTCCACTACTTTCATAAATCAGGATCTCTCATGAAATCATAAAAGAGTTATATTGTTTCTCCCATATTACTCCTTAGGGAAAGTCAACTTACTGTTTAATTTAGAGAGTGTGTAGGCTTATCTTTTATGCTATAAACTGTGTAGATTTTTCCAGAACATTACCATACAAATTATTTTCACTGCCACATAAAATTATGTGCATCTCACCTGTTCAACCTGACTGTGACCCCAGCACATTGTAGTTACTGAAAATTGTATTAGTTTACCACCTCCCCCTTTCACAGTGTCACATAAATGAGATTATGCAGTGTTCTGAGTTTCTCCAACTTGATTCTTGACTATATTATTTAATACTATGTCTCTTGTATTATAAAGTGCATTTCATGGTTCTTAGTAATTGCTAAGAGTGGAAAGTACTGGAAGTTTTAATATGCTTATAGGATATTCCTATAACTACTATGGAGAAATGCCTTTTTAAATACTTAATTTTCATTAGGATATTTCTCTTTTAACTTCAGGGTTGCAATGTATTTTATATATTTAGGAAAATATATATATATATATATATATATATATATATGTCAGCTATTTAAAGACTATTTTTTGCTTCATTGATTGAGCTGTATTTTCCTTCTTCACTCTCTATTTTGTTTCTGTTATCACTTTTGTTTGTTTTGTTGCTGATATTTTAGGTGTTAATTATTTATTTTAGTTTATAGTTTATCACAGGAAGAACATGGGAGAATTGAAGTAATACAGGGGAGGATGTGAGGAGACACAGCTATCAAGTATGTGCCGTCCTACAGGATAAGTCCATCTGTCTGCTGGGTATCCTTCAACAACGTGTTCCTTGATTAGAAAAATAAGTACTAATTTTGAGTGCTGAATTTTATTTCACTAATCTACAAATCTGACCATAGACAGCATCGAAATGTTGTAACCACTACCAGTTTGTCACGGGTTTTGAAAGGAAGAAGTATGTGTCAAGCAGTTCAAATTTCTTTTGTTTTCAGGATTGTTTGATTGTTTTGAATGTACATGATAGCTGTGTGCATTTCCATAAAAATTTAAGTACTGTAGTATACATTCCAGTGAAAACAGTAAAGTATCTAGGGTTTGTGTTGGACCTTTACTTAATTCGAACTCCTCCAGAAATTGATGTCATATTAACAATATTTAGCTTTACAGTCAATGAACCTGGGGAAATTAAAAATTTGTATAGTCCTATTTTATTTTTCCCCCACAAAATGTAAATAGCTTTAAGTGTACATAGCCTATAAGTATTCATTTAGTTTCTTTTCTCTTACTTTTCTGTGTCCATCCCTCTTCTTTTCCATGCTTTCTTTTCATTTGAACATTTTTATTGCTAAATATTCTACTTTCTATGTTATTTTGTTTATTACTATTGCTTCTCTAAACATAAAACGACATAAAAAAAAAGTAATGCATCACTGTGTAATTGCTGCTGTTCTCATACTCTGCAGAAATGCTGCTCCTATCCTACAGTGGCATGGACTGTGGACACAGATGGCCATACCTCGGTGATGGAGTGGTAAATCTAATTGCTACCTGACTTTCATTTCCCAGCTGTTAATTTTTAGCTATGAAATCCAATTGAAATCTTATGTTATCACGTACACTGGTTCTTCAATGAACTCATTTTTATTTCTAATACTATGTTTGTGGATGTGATCTCCTACTCGCTTTTTGGTTGCTTTTTATTTATGTGCCTGTTTGTGTATTCATGTGTGAGTATGTGAACATGAGAGTGGATTGTATCCGAGGTCAGAAGTGGGGATCCGATGTCCTGGAGATAGAATTGGACCCAGTTTTAAGCTGCCTAATGCTAGTGTTAGGCCTGCAACTTGGTTTGTCTGCATGAGTGTGAAGTGCTCTTAGCTGCTGAGCCATCTTCCAGCCCCCAGATTTTCTTTTGACTCAGAAGAATATGTCCTTTGCAAATAGATGCAGTTTATCTTAACTGTGACGTGGAGAAGACATAGAAGAGATAATCATGGGTTACCCTGATGGCAAGCTTCAGTACAAGGTATAGTAGGAATGCTAAGTTTTGGCATCTTTGTCTCATTTATTTTCTTTGGAGTAGTAAGTTTTGTTCTTTTTTGTTTGTGTTTGTCTGTGTGTTTGTGTGTGTCTTCATGACCAACATGTGTTCATGTACCAGTAGACATCAGAGATTAACCTATGGTATTGTATTTCAAGTGGCAGACTCCTTGTTTTTGTTTTAAATTTAATAGATTTTACTCTATGTAAACAGCCATTTTGCCAATATATGTGTGTATGCAACTCTTTTGTGCCTGGTACCTACTGAGGCCAGAAGAGGGCACCGTTTCTCCTAGAAACAGAGTCACTGATGCCTGAGTTACCACATCCTTCCTGGGAATTGAAACCAGGTTTTCTCTGCTGCCCAAGAGGAGAGGGTGCCCGAATTGGCCTTGCCCCACTATCACACTGATGATTATCCCGAATATCACCATAGAATCTTCATCAGGCGAGGGATGGAGGTAGTGACAGAGACCCTCATCAGAGCAACAGACTAACCTCCCAAGGTCCATTTGAAGAGCAGAAGGAGGGAGAAGATGAGCAAGGAAGTCAGGACCTTGAGGGGTTCGTCCACCTGCTGAGACGGTGTGCCTGATCTAATGGGAGCTCACCAAATCCAACTGGATCAGGACTAAAAGAGCATGTGATCAAACCAGCCTCTCTGAATGTGGCTGCCAATGGGGGCAGACTGAGAAGTTATCGATAATAGCACTGGGACCAGTTTCTACTGCATGTACTGCCTTTTTGGGACCCTAGTCTATTTGGATGCACACCTTCCTAGGCCTGGATGGAGGGAGGAGGGCCTTGGACTTCCCAAAGGGCAGGGTACCCTGCCCTCTCTTAAGGAGGGAGGGGGAGGAAGGGAGGTGAGTGAGGGAGTGGGAGGGGAATGGGAGGAGGGGAGGAAGTGTACATTTTTGAATGAAAAAAAAAAAAAGAAACCAGGTCTTCTGGAAAAGCAACTAGTGCTCCTAAATTTTGAGTCACCTCACTAAATATAGACACCTTGGTGTTTTTGCTTGTTTGTTTTGACAGGGTGTCTCACTGGGACCCACATCTCACAGATTAGACTGATTTACCAGCTGAGGAACATCAGGTATATGACTGTCTTGACTTTGCATGTTATAAATTATAAATGCATATGCTTATGTTTTGTTGTCATTAATGATGCATTTTTTTTAAAAATATAGATTATAGGTATTGAGAGCAGTTCTACAATGCTGTTGTAGCAAGCACTTTACTGCCTTGGCTGTTTCCTCAGTTTAGTTTTATTTCTAACCTTGAGCAAATCCTTTTTAATAAAACAAACATATGATTCTATGTATTTCACTTAAATGTTAAAAAATTACACTTCAGGACCTAACTGGTGGATTGAAAGACATGTCTTTCGTTTGTTTTTATTGATGTTTTATTAAGCGTGTGTATTACATGTGAGTAATCTTGAGACACATGTTGGGTATAAGCATACAGGGAGTGCACATCTGTTTATTTTTTAGTCTAAAAACTTGAGCCTTTGAAGATACAGTGATGTGTGTGATTTTTTTCTAATGCCGTTTTGCTTTAACGAATTTCATTTTCTACATTATGGTTTATTGTGAATCAATGTTGGATTTGTGAAATCCCCTGCCATTCAGATAACTACTCATTTTAAAAATCAATTTATATGTGTGTAATATAACACATTAACTATCTCCTTTTTATCTGATACAGGGTTTCTCTGCAGCTTTGGAGTCTATCCTGGAACCAGCTCTTGTAGACCAGGCTGGCCTTGAACTCACAGAGATCCACCTGCCTCTGCCTCTTGAGTGCTGGGATTAAAGGCGTGCGCCACCACTATCTTCTAAATCTTAATTGAATATTTGCGACTCATGAAACCATCGTTCCTATGCTTACTCTTGCTCCTCTTTTGACATCTTTGTTGGAACAGTATTTTTCCTCTGTATTTTTTAAATTTATTTTTAATTTTTTGTTTGTGCATATTTTGCTTACAGGTATGTCTTTGAGTACCTGCCTGGTGTCTTCCGAGGTCAGAAAACGGTGTGAGATCTCTTGGACCTGAGGTTATAGATATTTGTGAGTTACTATGTGGGTGTTGGAAAACAAACCTGGGTTCTCTAAATGAGCAGATGATGATCTTAACTACTGAGCTGTTCTTTCAGTCTCCTTTCTGTGTTCTTATTTCATATTTGTCTCTAATGTTATGTCATATTTGTGGCATTTTGTTATTAGGTGACACTGGCATTGTTTAAAACCTTGTTGAAAGTCTTTAGTCTGTGTTTTGTTTATCAAAAGTTTGTAAAGGGAAATTACTGTGTTTTCAAAAAAATACTTTCTAAGTTAAAATATGAACAATCTACATTCTCATTGTGATTGTTCAGTGTTAATTGTTAACTTAACTGAATCTCAAATCATTTTGGAGGCAAACCCTTGGAAAATATCTGTGAGGGGTTATGTTGGTTATATTAGTTGATATTCAAAGACCCATCTTAATTGTAGGCAGGAACATCCTCTAGGCAGAAGACCCTAGATTGTGTAAAATGACAGCAGGCTGAGCACTAGTATAAATGCATTTATTACTCTCTCCTTTTCATATTGAAAATATTTTTATTGAATATATTCTGATCATTGTTTCCCTTCCCCCATCTTTTACCAAACTCTTTCTCCATTTTTAGCCCACCCAAATTTAAACCATTTTTTTCTCTCTCTCTAGAAAACAACTGGACAAGCTCTCTGCTTCATGCCCATGGATACGATGAGATCAGCTGCCTCAAGCCCTTGCCTGCCACTGTGAGTTCCCTAATGATGGGATGTAACTTGGAACTGTAAATAAAAACAAACTATTTCTCCTGATTTTTTTTTCTAGTGAATCATCACACTTCAACATGGAACTAAACTCCAAACCATCATAGAAGCCCGAAGGGACCTGACCAACTGAGCCTTCAGGAAAACATGCTTAGCGGATCTCAATCTATCTTCCCCAGCAGAGACACAAGTTAGTGGTGCATGGGTTAAATATTCAAGATCAGGTTTTATTCACCCTGGAGATGATGCCATGAGTTTTTATGAGAGGGTGGGGTGCATCAGAGAAGTTGGGAGACAGAGGGAAGGCTACACACAATATAAATAGAGTTCCCACACATGAAATTCTAAAACAAAACAAAAGAAAACAAAATATCAGAAAGCCTCAGAATACAGTGTTCTGAGACTTAACATTTCAACCTTTATTCCTCAATTGCTTTTCTGAAAGGTATTTCCCCAGTTTACTTCACATAGCTGTATGCCCCTTAGAGTTGTTCTATCTCAAGATTGTTTAGATTTGTGCTTCCCCAAAGCTAAAAAATGCTGATTTGTTTTGATTCTCTTTTTGTGTCCTTGTAAAACTACTTTGGAGACGTATCTCTTCAGGGAATCATTTATGTAGGTAAGATATTCATTCCTCTTTTAACTTTACAGTGCTAAAGCATTAATGTATTCAGGGTAGTCATTTGCTCTCATCTGTGTGATTTTCAAATGTCATATTTCATGGATTGAGTTATGTGCTCAGGATTCTCTGTTATTGTTGTTGCTCGTAGTTTCCGTTGTGTGATCATTTTATGGTGGTTGTTACTTTGGCTGTTAGCACTTAATAGTACTTGCAATGGACTGCAGTGACAATGAGAAACTTTTTGTAGCCCAGAGAAGATAGGAAAAGAAAAAGGTGCTGAGTGTATCCTGCTCCCTAGGGGTGTCTACAGGCTAACTACTCGGATGCTCAGGATTGCCACCCTATTTTCTATATCTCATTGGTAAACATTGTTATATCAAAATTAAGCCCTGATTTTGGTTCACTGCCCCTTTGGAGTCTGCACGTTATATTAAAATTTCTTAACTTGAATTATTTGCAATGTATCTTTGTTCCAATTTTTACTGTTTTTGCTTTTGCCACTATGTATCAACTACACACACACACACACACACACTTACACACAGACACACACACACACACACACACACACACACACACACACATATATATATTGTTGCAGGTTGGACTTTATTTCCATTTCCCTTGGCTGCTGCTGAGATTTTTTGCCTGGTTTGAACCTGTGAAGTCTTGTGCATTCTGTAACAGTCTGTGAGGCCAAATGTTCATTGTTTCTGTTGTGTGTGGAAGAGACTTCATCCTGTTTTTTGCTTTTCAGGTCTTTCCACTTCTCCTTACCCATAGATCCATGAGGCTGGAGGGGAGATGGCTCATGATGAGATCTCATGCAGGATGAAGTGCTCCCAAGTCTCATCTCTGTATATTGTCCCATTGTGAGTCTCTGGGCTATTTCTTATCTACCACAAGAAGAAGCTCCTCTGATGAGAGTTAAGTGATACACTGATCTATATGCTCTATGGGTATAGCAATATTCCACTTGGAATCATTTTACTGTTTTGTTCCTTTTGCAGGATAATAGTGGTTTCCCTCAAGGTCCATGATCTATCTATCCTGAGGTTCTTGTAACATATTAACAGTGTCAGGTATGGGGTTGATTCTATGGAGTGGGCTAGAAGTCCAATCGAAGTGAGGGGGGCGATTACTCCAATAATATTGGTGCCACTATTACACCTGTATATTGTGCAGGCATGTCACGATTGTAGGTTGCAAAGTTTATTGCTGAGTGATAATGGTTATTTGTTTGTTCCTCTCCCAGCATGGAGAGTACCTTCCAGCTCTATGAACATTAAGGATAAAGCTTCTAGTTGGGTATTAGCCCAATTTCTCCGTGTTTGATGACATAAGTAAGTAGTATCTATCAACAAAATTGTGCCGTTACTTTCAGGTTTAGGGAATAACCTAATATCCTTGGCAATAGCTTTCTTGGAGGTATCTATAGAATCACTGTTGGCCAAAACTCCACAAAAAACAACTCACTCCAGCACTAGAGGTTTTTTTTTATTTTGTGGTGTAAGATATCTAGTTGGGATATTGCCTCTTCTCTTTTATGGTGACTACCTTTGTATTCCATATATATATATTTAGAAGCTATATATATATATATATATATATATATATATATATATATATGGAGCTTCTAAAATTTTTTGAAATGTTCATATATAAGTACTATATTCAGATAATTTACACACATCACTGGTTCTTTCAATGTCTGTCCAACTAGCTCTCAGTTAATGACCTCTTCATTTGATTATTATTGCTACATACATGTTATTATGGATATCAAGCTAGCAAGTGTTAAGTTCCTTAGATGGTGCTCATATGTACATGTATTTAGGGATAGCTAATGATATTTGCATAAGCTCTTTTTGGTATCCCATTGGCCAACAACTCAACAAAAATAACCAATTCCTGACACTTAAGGTTTTATTTGACGGTGAAAGATACCTAGCTGGAGTGTTGACTCCTGTATTATATTGCATTATATTGGGACCAACAGGATCCCAAATAGTCACTGTGGTCAGAGGACCTATTAACAGTTCTATCAGTGGAGAAGACTGATTATCATTCACTAATTCCTTGTAGCTCTTAAGTGTGGGACCTTGTGATATTTTTATAGTACACATTGGAATATCAACTTGTGTAGTGATGGTGCCGATCTGCTTTTGGTATCCTTATTGTTGATATTTCATGGGAATGGTTGCCTGACTGTATGTAGAAGATTGTTTCTCCTAGCGGACAGCCCATTCCACTGGATGCGAGTCTTTCTGACCCCTTTCTGCAACATTCTCTATGTCTTGGGTTCATCTTGGGTTCAGAATGACTTTTTTTTGTTTCACAGCTAAGATTAGTCACCTCACTGTCAGTTGCTCTGTTTCTTTCGACTAGTTGCGTGTTTCTATAATAGTTCCTATCTGTTACAAAGTGAAACTTTTTTGATGAGGGTGAGAGTTATACTTATCAGTGGGTCTAAGAATAGCTATTGAAAATGCTAATAGAAATTATACTGGTTTAGAAAATTGACAACAGTATGTTTTCTTGCAGGGTTTATAGCTTCATTAGCTATGGGTGTTTGGCTAGGTTTAGCATATCTAACTATATCGAACATAAATTTTCTCCATTGGTATGGTTTAAGTCTGTATTACCTACCATAAATATAATAATAAACTATTTGAATGCTGGTTTGTAGTAATAGGGGCGGCGGGGCTGCGTTCCCAGCACCCCGGCCGCCTGCTCGGCTAGCTTAGCTTATGCCCCGAAATAATTACACGGACACTGTATTCTTTTAAGCACTGCTTGGCCCATTCTCTTCTAGGCTAATTCTCACATATTAATTTAGCCCATTTCTAATCATCTGTGTATGGCACCCCAAAGGTGCGCTTACCAGGAAGATTCTAGCCTATGTCCATCCTGGGTCAGAGCTTCATCCCTGGAGCGGGGCATGGCGTCTCTCTCAGGCGTCTGCTCCTGAGAGGAGAGCTTTCGAGTCTCTGAGCTCACTTCCTCTTCCTCCCAGCATTTTGTTCTGTTTACTCCTCCCACCTATCCTCTAACCAATAAAATGGGCCAAGGCAGTTCCTTTATTAGCCAATGACCTTCCTCCATCACTGGTTTATACCATGAAGCCACCAATATCCTAGTAAGGGCTAAGCTTTTCGAAATGATGACACTTGAGGAAAGCTGGTAAAATCAAGAAGTTTCTCTAGAATTTATGTAACATGGTTAGCTGCACTGTTTATATTATCATGCCATGGTAGTAAGCTGCCAACCAAATACAAAGCTGAATGAAATAGGAGACTCTCATTTTCACTTTAATACCACTATGTGTTCTAAAATGGACTTCATTGGAGAATTGAATGAAGCTACTTGAAAGTTTTGACAAAATATTGGTTCAGAGGTTTAATGTATGGTAGAGCGAATTGTGTTGCTCTTGTTTTATTGTATATGTGGGACTAATAGGGGAACAGCACAGATACGTCTCTATTTCCTTAGATTTCAGTCTGGCATTCAGAGCACTAAAATTGAAACATGAGGAGGATCTTAGAGGGGAGGAGCTGAGATGTTGTCGGAAAAGGCTGGAGATTTCCATAGAGTGACTGGCATTGTGGTTTATGTATAATATTCAGTATACTGTCTCTCATTTTATGTCAGTGTAGATCTGGGGAGGTGGCTCAGTCGGAAAAGTGCTTGCATTACAGATATGAATGCCCAAATTTCATTTTTATCCAATATCCAATATAAAAAGACAGGTGTAATGGTTTGAGCAAGCATTTCCAGGACATGAGGGGAAATGATAGTCTGATCGCTGAATACTGTCAGCCAGCCAGGCTATACTACTTAGATGTTTGCAATTAACTGAACTGAGATACACTGTCTAAAACGAGCCAGAGGAAGTAGACATCTGCATCATAACATTATTTGTGATGGTGAAAGAAATGCTGAACAAATGGACTCTCAAGAACTAAGAGTTCATGCACAAACAAGGCTTCTAAAATATCCAACTAATGTCCCACCACAGGTGAAGGAAGATCTAATGAAGTTCCACCTCTGAGTGTGTATTAACACTTGATTGCCGTCTGAGATACAAGGTAATCAAATTCCTTTAGGGACATTGAGTGGGAGACTGTTCATTTTGTCATAGGTTGTCCCATATTCGTGCACACACATACAAATGGAATTGGTATAAAAAAGAGAGAGAATACATGAAGATGCAATAAGTGATGATATGATGATAGTAGGGCTAAGAGAGGAAATTTTTGATTAGGAAATCGTGGGTAGATTTTTCAAAGCTGAATATTTATATATTGATACTGAATAAAAATATTTTTGAAAGATGAGTACCAACTGAGAAAAATAGGGTTTAGCATCAGGAAAGATGGTTTAGTGAGCCAGTAGAGACAAAGCAACAAAGGTCTTCCAACAAGAGAAGTATCCCATCACAGATTGTAGAGCAAGGAGTTTGCATTACAGACAGGATGATTTAGACTGATGAATGAGGTAAGGGTAAGGTTTTGATGAGATATGGATTGTTGTAGGAACAATAGTAATAAGACTAGAGACAGGAGAGAAAAGGGAGGGTGCGGACATATCCCTTATTGGTGTCCACAGCTTTACTCAAAAGTTTCTATTTCCTCCTGACTTTGGAGCAAACATGCATGCAGGATTCCAGGAGGTCTCACGGTAACTAAGCAGGAGTTTCTATCCTCTTCTGCTTGTCATGTGTGAGAAGCTAGACTCATTGGAGCAACGTAGATTTTAGAGATTTGACTTGCAGCTAGGAGCTTCACACTGAGAAACAGCTCATATTTTCGCTCTTTCTGTTCTTCAACTGGACCTTGGGAGCTCAGTCCAGTGCTCTGATGTGGGTCTCTGTCTCTATCTCCATCTGTCGCTGGACGAAGGTTCTATGGTGATATTCAAGATAGTCATCAGTCTGACTACAGGACAAAGCCAGTTTAGGCACCCTCTCCTCCACTGCCCAGGGTCCTAGCTGGGGACATCCCCATGGATACCTGGGAACCCCTCTAGATCTTGCCAACCCCACAATGCCTCCCTTAATTAAGATATTGTCTTCCCTGCTTCCATATCTGAGTCCCACTCTTGGGACTCTTTCTCCTGTTAAGCTGCCTTGTCCTACCTTTATATGAAGGCCTTTTCCCTTGCCGGGTTGTATCTTATTTTGTAAGTTTTGTTGTTGTCTCTTTGAGCCCTTCTCTTTTCTGAGGGGACAAGGGAGGTGGGGGCTGGGCCTGAGAAGTGTGCAAACTTGGTAGGGATAAATTGGTATGAGAGAAGAATCTATTTTCAGTGTAAACATAGAAACAAAGTAGTGTGAGTGGAGTGTTCTAATGTTATTTGTATCGTATCTTCATAATAATTTAATTGAAACTAGCTTTCTTGTGGTTCTGTACAAATTTTACAATTATTTTTATCATTAGCACAAAATAATAACATATATAGGAACTTACATAACCACTGCACCTATTATCTGTTCAGGCTTAATTCATAATAATGTTAAGATTTCTTGTCTAGGAATTTGGGATATTCTAAACCTCATAGTGATCTTACTAATCATCTGAAAATGATTTACTGCTTAAGTGTATATATTTTACAATTATTGTTTATTTCTAAACATTTTATTTCCTTATTTTATGCTGATGCAGGGTCTTACCATGATGCTCATGATAATCTCAGACTCAGGCACAGAGGAGGGACTTCTTGCCTGTCTCCTGTGTATCTTTCATTGAAGATACAAACCACACACCAAGCTGGTGGTATTGTACGATGAAGTGTTTTCTGCCTTTCATTTTCCATTGTTAGTTTCCTATGTGTAAATTCAGCTGAATTTTTTTTTCATTTTTCAACAGTGTGATTTATTTATATTTACTAAATATTGTGCATCTTCTGTAAACTAGGCTGTTAAACACATTGGGAAGTAAGCCTGGAATAACCCTCCTACAAACTAGGAGTAATAGAGTTTGAACATTCCAGGTAGGCTAAGTATGATAAAAGTAAGGATTTAAAATATGAGTGTGTGAAAATCATATTTAAGACTTACATAGAAAAATAGAATTTATAAACTCACATTTTAGTAGTTTGATTTTTCTGCACATAATATGACAGTGAGAAGTTGTAAAATAGAAATATACTCTTGCTCAACTGTTTGTACAAATGGGTATAGCAGATGAGAGGTGGGATCTTTGGATATTCCTTCCCTTATAATTCACAGCTCTGGGGTCATTGTTGCCAGCTGAACTCCTTTTATATACACTTATTAACATTTAAAAGGGTTCAAATTGTTTTTTTTGTAGTTTAATTTTATTTTTTAAGTTATTTTCTTTTTATTATTATTAATTTATTTATTAAAGATTTCTGTCTCTTCCCCGCCACCGCCTCCCATATCCCTCCCTCTCCCCCAATCAACTCTCCCTCTCTCATCAGCCCAAAGAGCATACCGGGTTCCCTGCCCTGTGGGGAGTCCAAGGACCTCCCACCTCCATCCAGGTCTAGTAAGGTGAGCATCCAAACAGCCTAGGCTCCTACAAAGCCAGTATGTGCAGTAGAATCAAAACCCAGTGCCATTTTTCTTGACTTCTCAGCAGTCCTCATTGTCCGCTATGTTCAGCGAGTCCGGTTTTATCCCATGCTTTTTCAGACCCAGTCCAGCTGGCCTTGGTGAGTTCCTGAAAGAACATCCCCATTGTCTCAGTGTGTGGGTGCACCCCTCGCGGTCCTGAGTCCCTTGCTCGTGCTCTCTCTCCTTCTTCGGCTGAAATTTTATACTCATGTATTTTCAGATTTGTTGGCTATATTTTAAAACCTGGATATATTTGTGCATTTCCTGTTATTTCTTTCCCACTAGAAATCATTTGTCTTCCTTGTCATAGGTAATAGAATGTCGACCCACTGTTCCTTTTCTTGAATAATTTGCCTGAGTTCAACATCCAGTCAATGCTCGGTGAAGTAACATCCACCTGAATCTTCTCCTTTATAACCACTGGGAAAGTCCTGAGCCTTTTCAGCGTCGTAGGTATGTTTTTTTTTTCATTCAAATCCATTACATGTCAGATCTGTATATGACCAGTTTGCTGGGCTTTGTTTTCTTTTATTTAGCTTTCTTAAAAATAATTTTTATGTATTTACACAATGTTTTAGTATTTTTTTTTATCTTAATTCTCCTATCGTATTCTCTTCTTTCTTCTGCTGAAACCCTATATTTTAGGTCCCTTTATCATTTTTCTTTATTTAAGAAAATTGAGAATTTTATAAGAGACTAGAGTATATACATAATTTTTCATCTCTGTCTCTCCAATGCATTCTGTGTACTCAGCTCTCCATTCTCAAATTCATGACCTCTTCATGAACAGGTTTCAACCTGTGGGTTACGACCCATTTGCGGATCAAATGATCCTTTCACAGGGGTTGCCTAAGACCATTGGAAAGCACAGATATTTACATTATGATTCAGAACAGCATCAAAATTATAGTTATGAAGTAGCAATCAAAGTGATTTTATAGTAGGGGCTGGACACCATAACATGAGGAAATGAATTAAGGTGCCAAAACCTTAGGAAGGTTGAGAACCACTGCTCTTCATTATTACTATTGTTATATGCAAACATGTATACACACACACACACACACATACAAACACATATATGCATTTGTGTGCAAATACAACCTGCTGATCTATTTACTATTCCTACATTAATCTGTTCATGTAAGGATAAGACTTCATAATTCAGTTAGGGATTATAATGAGTTATGAAATTGGTTCCCTAAGTTCCTCTATGTTTCAAGGACTCACTACCCTTATGAAGTTAGCTGGGTTATAGCTTCATCATTTACCTCTTGTTACCCAGGCTTTAAGTTCAAATAGGTAGGTACTAGTCATTGAAAATATATAAGAGCACGACGGAACCAATAGTGATAGTTTGCCAAGCAGGTCATGGTCATTCAAGTACATCATAACTGTGCTGGATAGTTGATGACTTTACTCGCTAACAGCTTTTACAAACTCTTCTTGGATTATGAAAATAAAAGCTAGTCCTCAGGGACCAGGCTTTTATGAGGTTTCAGTTCAAATTCTCAGAGACCCAAATCTAAGATGCAGTGATTTCAGCAATAGGAGCCTTGCTGCCACTTCTTGGAGGCAACCAAGTGCAATAGACTATACTCTTGTGCTAGTTCACTGGACTCCCTTTACCAATGACTCAAAAGTAGTATTATCCTGACTGGCTCTGGAGTTTTGCTTAGATATTCATGGTTTCTGGTGGGCAAATTATCTTCCAAATTGTGTATAATTTTATATAAACATATACACATATATTTACACTCATAATATATGTATTATAAAGTATACATATATATATTATAAATATATATAAATATATTTGGGAGTAAATATAAAATAATGATTCTCTTGTCAATTGTTACTGTCCTCAGTGTTCCTATTTAGTTTTGAAATTTTACTTCTTCAATCCTCATAGAACTGCTTTGAGTAATGTCTATTAAAAGCATTACTTATATAGTAGAATATTTTATATTTCCTGATCAGTTCAGTGGACTTATCCAATGTGATCGGAAAAGACTTGATTCTACTGATTGTGTTGTGCTGTCTTTTTCAATAAGTTATGTCAGGGTCTATTGTTGATTTTTCTTTAAGCTTCTCTTGATTTTTTTACTCTTTTTGTACAGTGGTTGTTGTTTTCTGTGTTATCACTTTGTTGGTATTCCTGATCCATGACAGTGATTACAGTGAGGATTTAGGTAGTGGAGGAAGTCCTTGAAGAGGCATGTATCAGTGTACCTGAACACATAGGGCATATGTGCGTACTGCCTTTCTTTGATCTCAGTTCCCTCTCTTCACTTTACCTCTCTAGCAAACACCATTCCTCCAGAGTTCAATATTTGTGAACTCCTGCCTGTTTGAGTGTATCATTCATTTTACAAAATGCATATTTTGTGTTTACTACGATGTGTTCTTTTCTTTCAGCAATTCCTGCCTCATGTTATTAATCATTTTTCAATAGTGCTATAAAATTAACTCATAAGTTATTGCTGTTCAATCCTCTAATTTATGTATAAGTTGGTATAGGATCAATTTTAATCGGTTATGTTCGCTGTTGAGTCAGAAATTCAATTTTCATGTTGTTTCAACTTGTTCCCATAATTTTGCGAATTATTTTGTCTACTGCGAATCTCAGAAGTGTTTGAGAGTCATTGGCATTAAATATAAGTGTTTTAAGCTAGGAAGATTGCCGACTTGTATAATCTTTTTCATGGGAGATATGGTGTTGGCTCCTTAGCACTTATGGAAACAAATGAATAGACAAACAGAGCAAGATTGTGTGCCTCTGTTATCCCAGAATGATGTGACAATCTCCTAAGCTTCTGAACTCTAGGCTCAGTGTCAGGTACTGTCTCAAAACAAGCAGAACTGGACTGATGAAAAATTGGATATTGACCTAGCATCTGTACACCTCTGCATATATTGCTGCATCCCCACACAGCCTTAATCATATACACGACTGCTATTTAAGTGCTTAATTTGGTACATAGTTTTATTTCACCAATCTAGTTTAACTATATACCATTTCCAAATGTCTTCAGTGAAACTAATTTGTCCTAAGTTTTGAAACAGAGCAAAAGTTCAACACTTCCATTGTTCATTTTCTTTATTTGATATTGTGTTAATGTTGACTATATTATGGCAGTTCCTTGTGAAGTTTAGATAAGTTTGTCCTTGGAATGAAAAGTAAGATACCTGTCTTTGGATAGGGATACTCTTATTCTCTAATAGCTTTGATAATTCCTGATTTAAGACTATGAATTGTGACATTAAAAATAAATTGGTTTTATTAATAATCTTCAATGAATATTTGTAGCTTTAAGTATTCTTATACTAATTTTTCCCTGTGTTTTTTCATTTTAGGAATGTTGCGTATTTCTGATACGGTGTCTGACTGCTGCTCGGCGAGGTAGTAGTTCAAGCCATAAAGCCGCGCTTACTCTTCCAATCCTGAGAAGCTCACACTGGAGACCATTTCTCTTATCCTATGGTATTATAAAATCAGTTGCTTTTCTTTTTTTGATAAAAATGTATTTTATTAATTCTTTGAGAGTGTCATATATTATATTCCAATAGTATCCATTTCCTTCCCTGTCTTCTCCTAGATCCGCTTCCTTATTCTCTTTTCATTCAATTTCGTGTCCTCATTAAAAAAAAAAAATTCTAGCCGGGCAGTGGTGGCGCGCGCCTTTAATCCCAGCACTCGGGAGGCAGAGGCAGGCGGATCTCTGTGAGTTCGAGACCAGCCTGGTCTACAGAGCTAGTTCCAGGACAGGCTCCAAAACCACAGAGAAACCCTGTCTCAAAAAAAAAAAATTCTAGTCCCATTAGTACTGCCTATAGGCTCAGCTGTGTGGTCATCCAGTGCAACACGTTAGATCCCGGGGCCACATCTTTAAAGAAAGCTCACTCTTACCCCCTGATACTGTCAGTTACCAATGGCTCCTCAGCTAGGTGTGGGACTTCATTCCCATCTCCCTTTTACAAAAATCTTGGCTAAAATTTTGTCTGAGTCAAACGTGCACAGGTTTTGTGCACGTTGTCACAACCACTGTGAGTTTATACATGCAAATTTCCTCTTGTGTCTAGAGAAAACTGTTTCCTTGTGGTCTTCTCTCTCTTCTGGTCCTTATAGGCTTTCTCTTCCCTCGTCTGCAATGGTCACTGAGTCTTGGGAGGAGGACTGTGTGATGCCCCATGTTCAGCATGTTCAGCAAGCTCAGTCACTCATTCTCTGCACCCTGATTGGTTGTAGGCTTCTGAATTAATTGCTTTTTACTGCAAAGAGAAGCTCCTCTGCCAAGGTCTTGGTAATGCACTCATCTGTGGGTTAACAAGAAGTAGTTAGGAGATTGATGACATGTACCATTATCAGAGCAGTTGCTGTGGGTTCTTCCCTGGGGCCTAGGGCCAATAGCCAAGGTTATTGATCCCCATGTCAGCACAGGATTCTGTTTCTTCCTGTCTTCCGGGACCTCAATCCAATCAGAAAGCATCTGCTTATTCCTATGGCATCCATACCATTGTAGTACAAGTGGGCATGTCCTGTCAGGCGGGTTGTTTCTGTAGCTTGCAGGACCCATAGCCACATAAGACTAATGATTACTCTCTCCTCTAACACTTTGGAAACCATTCAGTAGGGATGAAACTTCCAGGTCTGTATCATCTCCATTTTTCTAGGTTCTATGATTCAAGTATGTGGTGCCTTTAGTTACAGGGTATTACTCTAGAATTTGGGAGGGTAACTAATTCCATTGGCAATGGCCTCTAACATTTGGGGACCTAAGAGACCTCACAGGCCAACAGCTCCAAGAAAGGTAACCTACTGCTGACTTTGGATTTTTGTTTGCCTACAGTGTCTGGTAGTGGCATTGCTACCCCGTTACAGTGCAGCTCCATTTAAGTTCTTCCTCTGTACGTATATATTTATATTTTAAGAAACTTCTTTACTACTGGTTCTTATAGGACTTAAAGGTCTTTAGTGTTATTTATCCCACTCGATTCCCTCCCTTATTTCTAAGAATTGTAATCATAACTTTTACAAATAATTTAAAGAAAAAGCCAAGTGCCTGGAGAGAAAATTCTGAAATCATCCAATCATTTTAGGTCTCAGATATGTTCTGGAGTTTCTTTTAAGAAGAAATTTAACTGCACTAATTCAGAATTACTGAACAACTTTGAGGTTTTTATTTTTTTGGTAACTTGTCAAAAATAAGTACTTTCTTATATTCCTAACTATAGCATGATAAAGTTTATATTTTCCTTTCACCTGACAGTGTTCAAGGCACAGAAGTAGCAACCAAGTAAGTCACAAACAAGGAAGTTACATTTTTTAATTGTTTTCATAGTGCTATATGTTTTTCCCCGTGCTTCCAATTTACTCAGGAGATCTTGTCTTTTTCTTATACTATTAATTCCTGTGTTTCTTCATTTTAGGAATGTTGCTGTGCTTCCTCTTCCCATCCTGAGAAGCTCACACTGGAGACTGCTACTCTTAGCTTATGGTATTATAAAGTCAGTTGCTTTTCAAAAACTGTTTTTTTTAATTCTTAATTACTTATGCCAATAGTTGGATTAAAATTTATATTTTATCTTCCTAGTTTGCAGACATTATTATACCTAAGAATATTTTTTAAACTACTTAATGTTTTTTAGTAATAAGAATTGTAGATTATATTATTTGCCTTAATCAGCAGACATCTATGAGATGGAAATGTATACTTATTATTTTCTTCACTAACTGTATTGAAAAGGCCCTCCCTGACAATGAGAAATGGAGACAAAAAGCTGGTAATTATTAGTTACTATTCAAGCCTGTTCTTTAACTATCACATATGCTACTTCCATACATAATATATTTTATGCATTTTATAAGTTTTTATTTTGATTATTAATTTTGTCTTACTTATATCCTCTAGGCATGTGGACCTGCTTTATCAGGGTTTTGATGAGTTTGATACCAAACAGAAACAAAGAGTGACTTTGAAAATGTCATTTTCTTTGAGTATGTTTCTCAGGTATCTGTTAAGTAGTAGCCTCAGTTCTTTAAATAACTGCCATTATCCACAAGGGAAATTTTCCTGAGTGGCCTGAGTGGTCAGTAAATGATACACAGCAACAACCGTATGAGCTTAGAAGAGGATCCAGACTAAGTTTAAATTATTTTCCTCAATCTTTACAAAAAATCAAATCCTTATTAGTAACCAGTGGTATATGTAAGTATTGTATGAACATTGAAAACACTTGTTTTTAATGGAAAAGTTACATAACTAGCCATAAGTACTTTGTGATATCCTCATAAGGTGTAAAATGGAGAAAATGTTGACACTTGAGTAAAATTGTTAAAGTGAGTGGACATCATAAAGTTTACTATGTAGACATCCACAAACTATCATTGTTAACACCAATGCATTATGTTTGTATGGAGTTCACAAATGCAAAGTTAAATTAGCTGTGAAACACACACTACCTCTCACACCTTAACGTGGTAAGGAACTATAAAATAACCTCTTACTGTCATTGTTCTAAGTGCAGTTTATTTAGTGGCATCTACTTTCAGAAGTACATGAAATCATTTTACGTCTGAGTTGCTGATTAGATGTGTTGGAAGTGAAAATGAGCGTAGCCTTTATGATTATCCACCATGCCAAATCTAGATGCCCCTGCTCAGGAAGTCCCTCACCCCCGCAGAACATTTTTTTCTCTTTTTTCTTACACATCAGTCATTCAGTTTACCATTGCTTACAAATAAATGGCATAAACATGAAGACAACAGTAAGTTGACAGATTTAAACAATTAAAAATTTAGAGTTTCTTCCACACAAATGGGTGAATCCAAATGCATGAGAGAGCACACTTTGTATAGCATATCCACATGACTGTTGGCTCTACATAGTATTTGGGGGTAGTTGCCCAGTCTTGGGTTGTACAAGGATGTAATGACAAATCTCTAAGTTGAAGCCACACTGCCCGGAGTTATTTATTGGTGAAATTACACTATAGTGGTTTTATTCAATTTTGTATGCTGTGTCAGGCTTTATGGTTTAGCGAGCACATGGTGTCAGCTCTGGGGATGGCCCATCTGGTGCATAACTCTCTGTGGACAGCTGCAGAGGCAACATGCATGCTACTACTGGTAATGAGAGATATAGGCCAGTGTGAGATGGTAGGAGTGAACCTGCGGGTGAAAGCTGTGAATTGTAGCAAGAAAGGGATACGAGGCTATGATTTTGTATTGGCATTTGACAGAGTGAGCTAATTGGATAAAAGTGGAGAAATGGAGGTGTAGGATTTGATTTTGCAAGCATACGTAAAGAGGCCACAAATTATAGCAGTAATATAGAACAATGTCAGGGATCCCCCAAACTGAGACCTATGGGAGGAGTCATGTAGCAAATAGGAAGCACATGATCTATAAAAATAAAAAATTTTCCATGTGAGTACTATCTTTGATACAATGAAAAATCTGCGAAACAACCTTTAATCATAGGTAGCATTTAGAATCAGATATGTGTGATCATGGGAATTGAGGATAATACAATATATAAAATTCTGGTGTTATGAACAAGAAACAAGACTCGCTCACAGGCTGACTTATTTACGTGTGCTCCAAAGAGCCACCCAAAATCAGTGTTAGGGCTGTAGTAGCCTAGCAATTGAGAATTATAGCTATTGATTCCCCCCGAGACAAGATGCCTAATCTGTTATAGTACAAAGGATACCATTCTCTGATGTAATGGCTCATGTGAGCCATTAGGGATGTTTGTCCATCAACAGTGGATTCTCCAGGGAACTCAGAACCCAAAGGATTACAGGTGGACTACAGTCCTGCAGGGACTAAGTGTGAGAGAAGCTATGTATCATGCCCAGGTGATTAGGTCGATAGTACCGTGTACAGCAAGTGCAGTGTCATGGACATTTGGTGGCTTTGATGAACCTATGTTCAGCAAGATCTTTGAAAGGTTGAAAATCATTTGCATTGTCTACACGGTGGTATTACAGCTTGTATGATATGGGAGACTATATAAGCAGAGAAAGACAGCTATCTTGTGTACTGGAAGAAAAGTTGTTAAGATTTGTGTTGAGGCCAAGTTCCTAAGGAAAGATACTGAAACAAAGCCTAATTCGGCAGTAAAGGACTTCTAGGAAGCTTTAAAGCTTCAAGAGCTTCACAGAGGGCATCTATGATAAAGAAATATATGTAAAGACAATCATGCCTATCCTTATTGTGGGCAATTATGTTTCCAGATTAACATGATTTTCCTCTCTTCTCTAAAAAGGGATGTGGGAAGAGGATGATGTGCAGAGCCTGGGCTTTCAACAGCAGTCAGGTATGTTCGATGGAGAGGCAACAGCTTCTACTACAGCCACAATGCCAACCCTGAGGCTCTCTGATGACTCACACCATACTGTAAACGGTCTAGTCCATTAGTTCTAGTGTATTTTTAAGTAGGGATGATATGCTAGTGAGAAAGTTAATAAGAGTTAATTTGGTTAGTCTTATGTAATCATACATGGGCATGATTAAAAATATCGCAGCAGGTCCTTTTCCCCATTAGTATAACAACCTGCTGTGTGACTTTCATGGCTTAGAGAGGTGTATGCTGTGGCTCACGTGGGAAGTTCTAAAGAAATGCTGTAGCATCACACCATGAGGTCAGTACAGAGCATGCACTGTGGGGAGACGGAAGACATAGTGATGGAAAACTTTTCAAGGAGAGGGGTCTGTATTAGAGAACATATGGTTTACTGGATTTTCCCTCATTTAATAATGGTATTATGCTTACTGATAAAGTGTTTAATTATGTAACACTTGAAGTGCTATGGATTTATTATGGCAGGGCAGTGGTGATCATACCTTTAGTCACAACACTTGGGAGGCAGATGCAGGGAGAGCTCTGAATTTGAGGTCATCCTGGTCCACCGAATGAGTAGTTAATGATTGAATAATATAATTGTGACATAAGAAAACACTACCAATCATTTTGTCCATACAGGCGGCGATCTTACTGAAATGTTCACCTCATTCAAGACCTCAAATTATACAAAGAATCAAGCCCCTTTACTATTTCCTTGCCTTATTCTCAACTGGTCCTTACTTAAGTAGTAACTGAATAGACGAGCCTTGGATGTGCTCGATCTGCCACCCTGGTCTTTCCTTATAAAACTCAGTTCATTGCATTTTCTCTGTTGTGAACCTATTTCCTGTGAATTAAAGCCTTTGGTTCGGGGAGCATGTTTTCTGGACTCAGGGAACTGCATTTATTTAAACTCCTAAAAAAGTGCATGAACTTACTAGTTTGAAAAGACTTATTAAAGTTGCCTCATTTATACACATAGTAAGTAATGATTGCGGCAGTAGGGTCTGTTCAGTGGAGCTGCTAGTTACCATGGCAGATAAAATCTATTTCTGCAGTTGTTCCAAGTCATTGCTATTGATGGGTTGAGCTTTTTGGTGATACATTCGCCTAAATTCTATATGTAGCCCCAATAAGCTCACTGTGTCACCAAGCAAAAGTTTAGATCAATTTTCTCTTAACTTTATTCATGTCCTATCCTGGATGAATGTACCTTTCCTCTGACTCTCTAAGGAAAGATAAATATCAGGAAAGTATGTCAAGGTGCAATTTAATTTTGTTTTTAATTTCAAAAAAATATTTCTTTAAATTTTGCGATTATAATTAAATTGCGTACTTTGCTCCTATGCTTTCTTCCTCCAAATTGTCCTCTACATCCCTCCTTGATTTTCTTGAAATTCGGATCACTTTGAAACATTATTTGATGTTACAAACACATAACTATATGTATGTATGCATATGTTTCTAATTAAATGCCCTCTGCCAGGTCTGTCTAATTTTACACTTTATGTTTTTTTCTGGATTGATCATTAAGAATATCATAATCATTTGGGTGTGTGCTTTCCTTGTTAAAATAAGATTTCTTTTTTATTTCCATTCTTCTGGATGAGTAACATTTTCTCCAGTATTCTTTGCTTTACCACATATGAAAGAAAAGATTTGTCTATTGAGCATTGCTGCTGACAATCTTCTAAAACTCATGTGAAACTCTAGATGGCACCAGTGTACCTCAAATTTTCATAAGTATATTCTTCAGTTAATTGATTGATTCCAGATGTCCTCTTATTTTTTCTTAAGAAAATTTCATATTTCCAGCATCCTGTGACAAGGAAGGAGCCTGTGGAAACACCAGTGAAGCCTCATCTACCAGAAAGGGCGTAAAGTACGTTTATCTCTTTTTCAATAAAATCTATGGTTGCAAAACTTAGAAAGTCTTTCTTTTATTAATGCTTCAGAGATTAAATTCAAGATATATTATTTTTGTATATTTTTAAACTAGACCTACATTTTGGTGTATGATCTGCTTTTTTGTATATTACAAAATTCAATCTTGTAATGGAATTGCATCATTTTCCCATTTTCTTTCCTTTTTCCAAATCCTCCCATATAACTCTCATTGTTTACTTTTAAATCTGTGATCTCTGTTTCATTGTTTGCTATTTTTTTCGAGACAGGAATTATCTGTGTAACAGCCCTAGTTGCTCTGGAACTAGCTCTGTAGACCAGACTGACCTCAAACTCAGAGATTGTCTTGCTTTATCCTCCCAAGTGCTGGGACTAAAGGTGTATGCACCACTGCCCAGTTTATCATTGTTTGTACACACACACACACACACACACACACACACACACACTCTCCTAATTTTATAAATAAAAAGTCAACTGTAAGTATTTTGTAAGTGAAAAAATTCAATTTTCTGTGTTATCCAATTATGACAGAATAATTGAGAAACATTTTAGCTAGTATACATTTTGGGAATTTATAAGTTAAATGATATAAAAAAGATGATATTTTTAAACCCTTAATTTATCTCAAATAATTGTGTTTTTATAAGTGTGTGTGTGCACGTGTGTGTGTTGTGTCATAATCTGGTAAGTTTTACAAGTGGGAAGTGTGAGAGGAATGCTTTTATCTTGTTCTTCAATTCTGGATGGCAATTTAATTGATCCTGGATTTCTCTTGGTTCTGTATAAATTTTAGAATGATTTTTTTTATCATTATGAGATAAGAATGGCACATATGGAGACCTGTGTGCCCACTGCACCTCATATATACATTGCTTGGCATTCATTATAATATTAAAATTACTTGTCTAGGAATTTGGAACTATCTAAACCTCATGTAGATATTATTAGTCATATGAAAGTGATTTTCTATTTAAGTGTATATGTTTTACTATTTTTTCTAAATATTTCACTTTTTTTTATCATCCTGATGTCGGGTCTTACAAACTTGCTCATGATAACTTCATACGCAGGCATGGAGGAAGTGTTTCTTCCCAACTTTGGAGAAGGTTTCATGGAAGAGAAATTCATCACACCTAGCTGGTGGTATTGTAAATCTTGATATATTTTTTTTTGTTTTCAATTACTAATTTCTTGATTGTAAAATTCAATTACATTTTTATATTTTGATGTAGTACCCATGTTTGCTGGCTATATTTTTAAATCTACATTTTATGTTTAGTTTATTATTTCTTTAGAAATCACATGCTTTTCCCCCCAACAAGACATAGTTTATGTTTCTTGCTATAAAACACCTATTGTTCATTTTGTCCAGCAATTTCCCTAAAGATAGTGTCCAGTAAATATTCTGTGAAGTGTTATCCATTTTTTTTCTTTTCCTTTTTAGCTTTTGGGGAAGTGATAACCCCTGTAGGGTTCTAGGTCTTACCTCCATTTAAATTCATAAAATTCTAGTTCTATGCATGCCTTGATTTGTTGAGTCTTTCTTCTTATTGGAGTAATCTTTTATAATCAATATAAAATTTTCATACATTTATATGATCGTGTTTCATTTTCAGCCTGATTCTCCTGTCTTGTCCTACTCCTGTACTGAATTGTATTTTCTAAGTCCCTTTGCTCTATTTTTTTTCTTAATTTAGATATATGAGCATTTAATACAAGACTTGTGTATTTGTCCTAGGTTTTGAAATATGAGTGAAAGTTCTAAGTCTTTTTCTTTATCTTTCTGTCTGAATACTGTATCAATGTTGTTTATCTAATTGCAGTTCCTTATGAGTTTAAATGAATTTTGGAATAGAGAGAAAGTAATATTTCTTCACAGTGCATGGGATGCTAGTAATTTCTAAGTAGCTTTGAGAATTATTGGCTTCCTAAAGTCCACGAATGGCTGTTTTTAAAAATATAAATACATGTTATTAATAATCTTAAATACATGTTTATAGCCTTAAGAATACTCACATCTATTTATTCATACATTGTCCTTTAAATTACATCATTAATTTCTCATACAGAATCGTACTGTGCTGCTCAATGAGGTTCCAACTCAAGTTTTAGAGCCAAGCTTCCTCTCTGCATCCCAAGATCTGACACTGGAGGAGAATATTTCCCTGAGTTTGTGGTATTGTAAAACCACTTGCTGCCCAATTCCATTTCTGATTATTGATTACTCATGTAAATAATTAGATTGAACTCCTTATTTTGTTATGTACCCGATTTTGTTGAAGTCATTAAATCTCAGTGCATCTTCTTGATAACTTTACACAAGGCTATGCCCTTTCACAGAAATGTAAAAATCCTGTTTGTCATTGGCACCAGACATCTAAGAATAAGAATGATACAGTATTTATTTTCCCCAGAAACTTCTTTGAGGAAACTTTCCAGGATAATGTGTGATGGACATGGCAAGGACGAATGTTCCTGGTTACTGCTCAACATGCAGAAGTGCTGTCCTTAATGGCTCTGCACAGGTGCTGTTTCCCTAGACAATATGTTGGATTTTCTAGAGGCTGGGCATTTCAACTGCCTATTATCTCATATTCTGTCCAGTTCATTGCCAACAGGTGTACAGATTTGTATTTTTCTTCCCTTTTATATTTTATATATTTTATTATGAAATAGACCCAGATGAATGATTTTGCACGTTATGTAGTAACCTATTTTTTTTTTATAATTGCAGGTATTCACGTGGTAAATTTTCGTGAGCAGTCAGGACAGGAAACAAACAACAAGATGTCTTGGAAGGGGATACGGAGTTGCTGAGCCTTCATTGCTCTCCTCAACTGGATCATGAAACAAGTTGGATTTTTCTTTTTGTGGGATGATGGATAATGCAGGTGAGGACCTGAATCATCAAGACACTTCATATTTGTGGAAAAATGCTTCATATTTGATGTTCAGTGCAATGAGTTATTCTGGTAATGAATAAAATGGGGAAGATGTTGACACTTGAGGAAAATTGATAAAATTACTGAAAATCATAGATTTACTATGTAGATTCCTAAAACTGTCAGCAATGGTGTTTAAACCAACATATCATGTTTAAATGGAATTCAACAATGGGGAACTAAATATCTGTGAAAGTCTTTCTCTCCCACCTTAATATTGACAGGAACTGAGATAACACCTCAATATTGTTTAAAGTAGATTTTATTTAGTGGAATCGCTTTTCAGATGAACATAAAATAACATTCTACCTGAGAGGCTACTTGGATATTTTGAAAGTGAAAGCTAGTGTAGCCTTCATAATTATTCACCACACCAAATCCAACTCAGTGATTTTCTTGTTCAGGAACATAACTCACCTCTTTAGTGTAGCATCAGGCCACTTGGTCTTTTTGGCCACCCAGAACTGAAATAATCACACAGAACCCATATTAATTAAATCACTGCTTAGCCCATTAGCTCTAGCTTCTTATTGTCTAACTCTTATATATTAATTTTGAAAGACCCTCACCCGCTTGGGTGCAGGCCCAAGAGGGAGAAGCCCCATGACTCAATTAACCAGTTCAGCAGATGCAAGAAGCAGTAGGGTTTATTACAATAGCACCACTGGGTGTCTCTAGTCTCCAAAGAGGTAGAACACCCCAAACAGCAATTCCAGCAACTTATTATAGGCAAAACCCACAACATTATAATAATGGGTATAAGGTACAGAACAATTGGATATAACATTTAACATTTTGGAGCAATTTTAGGCCATAGCTATTTGTTTCTTCTGTTTCCCAGAAATACCATAAAAACCCCAAACTCTGTCCTGGAAAGTCCTCAACCCCTATCATGGGCGCTAGGTGTTTCTTGGCAGGCCAGTGGTAGGGTGCTGTCATCAGGGAGCAAGTTTCCTGGCAGGCTGGTGGTGCAGGGTACTGTGGTAGGGTGCAAGTGGAAGTCAGGGCAGTTTTGCAAGTTTTGTACTTTTCCATTGCTGATTACCATCTATCTAGGGCATGTGCTAAAATCAGCTGCAAGCAGGCTATTTGAGTTAGGGTCTCACAATTTATCCCATCTCCATTAATCTGTGTATTGCCACGTGGCTGTGGCTTACCGGGTAAAGTTCCTAGCATCCCCTTCAGCCTATGTGGCTTCCCTTTTACTCATCCTCTTCCTCCCAGCATTTCCCAGCCTAACGCTATTCCCTGTGAAGGCCCTAGACAGTTTCTTTATTAACCAATGATATTCACACATACAGAGTGAAATCCCTCATCATTTTAGAACTCCTTTTCTCTTTTCTCCTTCCACATCACACATTCATTTTACTATTGGTTAAAATAAAGTGCATGAGCAGGAAGACACTAGCATTTTAAAAGATTTAAGCAATTAACAATTTAGAGCTTGTTTCACACATTTGGAAAATCCTGTGGTATGTGAAAGAAGCCATGGCTATTCATGACCCAGGATGGACAAAGAAGCATAAAGATTCTGCATTTGAGAATAAAAAGGAGAATCACACACTCACACAATATAATGGACTGTCTGTTCATTCTACACATCTTGTTCTCACTCTTTACTCTGCAGAACATCCCTTGTTACTGTACACACAAACCTGCCCTACTGCACAGAGGATACAGTGATAAGCTCCCAATTATATGGTAGTTAGAGCTCACTGATAAGAATGGAATGCATGAGTGACTACAACCCTGGTGCAATTCACTAGGAGACCCATTTACAGCTGGTTTTCAGACACCATATTTTAAGACATATGTGTTTACATTCATTTGCTTGAGAATAAGCTCCCAGTTAGATCACACTCTGTTGTAAGGAGTGGCGGGCTGCATTCCCGCCCAGCTCCCACATGGCTAGCTTTGCACCCGAAATAATTACATGGAAACTGTACTCTTTTAAACACTGCCTGGCCCATTAGTTCTAGTCTCTTATTGGCTAACTCTCACATCCTGATTAATCCATTTCTAATAATGTGTGTAGCACCATGATATGGTGGCTTACTGGGTAGGATCTTAACCAGCATCCATCTTGGAGAGGAGAGCTATAGCATCTGCTTGACTCAGCTTTCTTTCTCCCAGAATTCTGTTCTGTCTTCCCTGCCTACCTATGTTCTGACCTATCAGGCCAAGCAGTTTTCTTTATTAATTAACCAATGAAACAACAGATAGATAGAAGACCCATGTACATCAAGGAACAGTAATTCATCTTATTTCACTCAGCATTCTAAATCTTATTGAAAAGATTTTTGCTCACTGTTTTTATCTATAACCCCCAGAATTCATTCATGTTTCCAAGACAGGGTGATTGCCTTCTTTTGTGACAGAAGATGAGGTGTTCTCTGTGATCATCATTCCTTAGACTTCACAAAAAAATGATTGAACAAGGCGGCACTAGGAGTAATTAAATTTACAGTGCAGTTTAATATTTCCAGTGTAGAGCAGAATTTGTTTCCTTTTGTTTAGTTCCTTACAAGGTTTGCATTCCAGCATGCATGGTCAGCTACTGCTGATTTTCTCTCTTCCTTCTCAGTTGCTATTCCATGTATGAAATCCTACTTGTTCAAGTATAAATGTACATTTCTGCTTTCTGTCTGTCTGTCTCTCTCTTTCTCTGGTTATCTCTCTTTCTTAAAAAATTAACATGAAAACAAACAGAAAACCTAACAAAACAATGACACAACAAAACACGCACATAAAACAAACAACAAAATGATTATAAACATGAATTCCATTCTATGTTTCATACTACTCCTGGGCATGAAGCCAGGCCTAGATCGTGTTTAATATTCTCAGTGACTCTATTTCAAAAATCTAATTTTCCATTTCTCAACGAATGTAAATTTAATAAATGTTTCTTATAGGAACAGGACTTTGTGTTCAAACATTTTATCAATATTTGGCTTGTAAGTGGTTTGAACATTTGGAGGTTTTGTTCATGCCTATTACTATAGAAGTGTCCTAAAATATGTTCATATATGAGAGCAATTTAAAAGCAATCAATATGTAAAGAGAAAAATTCCCCAGCTAGGCATGCCACCAATAAAATCTCCAGGAATTGATCTCATCTCTCTAACAATCTATGGTTGAACTGTTATAGCTTAGAAAGGCTAGAGGATGCTGTGGATATCTAAGAAAATATTTTGGTTCCAAAACATGATATCTGTTCAGAGGATATGTGGGAATGGTGAACAGAGTGATAGGAAAGCCATTCACAGGGTTGAATTAGAATGGGAGAATGTGTATTTTATTGTATTTTTTCTTAATTTTTCATTGTTTAATCATGGTGTTATACTTGTCGATTAAATGTAAGAAGTAAAGTGGTAAGAAATTATAATTCTATATTTTAGTAGCTATATTTCATTGTTACTCAAAAATAAAGAGTTGATTGCTGAATCCTATATTTTTGACATAACCTTTATATGAGAAAATGATACCAGTAGTTTTTTTTTTTTCAGCCTATGGCCTATTTACTTTATTATTCATTGGGACTTCATCCGGTCTTCACATTACATCAAATACCAGACACTCTTTTTTTAACTGAGAGGAAGTTAAGCAAGAGTGAGCAGATGAACCTTGAATGTGTTTATTTGGTCTCCAAGTTCTTTTCTTATATGACCCAGATTAGTTCATTCTCTCTGTCGTCAATCAATTTCATCTTAATGGAACCAATTCCTCTTTTGGTAGGATATTTGCTGAATGAGGGCTACTCCATTCAGCAAACTGTTAAGGAAGCTCATGAACTTATTATTTTGAAAAGACTTCTTCAATTTGTCCCATGTATATAAATAGTAAATAACGATTGCAGTATCAGGGGCTCTTAAGTGGAATCATGGAGGGAAATTCCAGCTCTGATTCTATCCCAAGTCATAACCATGCTGTGTTGAGCTTTTGGGTAATGCATGTGTCTGAATTCCATCTGTAACCCCTTAAAACTCATTTTCTCACCAAGTAGAAATTTAGTATATTTATTTTTAATTTTATGGATGCCATGTCCCAGATGATTGGACTTTCCTTTCTGTCTCTCTAAGTAAAGACAGTTTGCGGGAAAGTATTTCTAAGCTGAATTTAATTTTTTCAGATATTTAAAAAAATTATTACTTTCATTTCCCCCCCAAGCTTCCTATATATCCCTCTTTGTTCTGTTTAATATTTAAGGTCTCCTTTTAGATTGTTTTTACATATATGTATGTATGTAAATATATATGTATGCATATATGTAGTGGGAGCTGCAGGCAGGCTTGCGTTTTATCTTGCCTGGCTCCCAGCCACCTGGCTAGCTTAAACCCAAAAATAACAACACACAAACTGTATTCATATAAACACTGCATGGCCCATTTCTATTAATGTGTTTAGCACCACGAGGTGTGCTTACCCATCCTGGGTCAAAGCTTTATCGCATCTGCCCAGGAGAGCAGAGGCATGGAATCTGCCTGAGGTGTCTTACCTCACTTCCTCTTCCTCCCAGCATTCTGTTGTGTTTACTCCACCCACCTATGTTCTAACCTATCAGGCCAAGCAGTTTCTTTATTAATTAACCAATGAACTTCCTCCATCATATATATATATATATATATATATATATGCAAATATAGTCTACAATATCTGCATGAATTTGTTTTTATGCTTTTGGGAATAACAATTATGTATTGGAGTTCTTGTTTATGATTCCATTGATAAAACCAAATTTCTTATTTTTTTTTAAAAAATCTTTTGGAATACTTGTGCTATCTTCTGCATTTGTTGTTTTATTTCAAACATTAGAAGAATGATTTCAGTCTTTTGAGCATTGCTATGGACACTTACTTGTATAAAGTTACCATGAAACTCAAACTTCCACCAGTATGCTCTTGATTTTTTCACATACATTTTTTAGTTAATTAGATAAAACTAGCCCTCATCTTATGCTTCCTCTATTTCCTGTATGCTTAGGAAAAATGTGTCAGGATTGGAGGAACATGTGGAAACATACCAAGGTAGCCCTGTGCACCAGAGTGAATCTAGAGAACATTTATGTCTTTCTTCTGTGACTTCTGTGGCTGCACATCTTTAGAAATTTTTTTCTAAATAATACTTTAAAGATTAATTTTTAGGCTACACAATATTTGATTATTCTTTAAATTATAGCTACATTTCAGTTTTGGTATGTTCATTCTTTACTTGTGTATTTTTTAAATTCTGGAAGGTTTAATATAATTGCATCAGTTCTCCTATTTCGTTTCTTCTCTCATAATTCTATCATGTATTGATCCTTGTTAACTTTGAAGTTCATGGCTTTGTTTTCATTGTCCATTCACACAAACACATGTACATGCATGCACACACATATGCACACACACACACATATATGAAATACACACACATATGAACAATGTTAAGTGAATGAAAATCCAATTTTCATGTGGCATCTACTTATCATAGAACTTTTGAAAAAAATTTGACCTTGTATGTCTTTGGCGTTTCCAGGATGAGTTCAATGATAACTAGTAAATGATAATTTTGAGCCCCCACCTTATCTCAAATAATACTGTGTTCATGTGAGAGTGTGTCTGTGTGTATGTGTCTGTGTGTGACTGTGCTGTCACATTGCATGAAGTTTTGAAAATAGGAAATATGTTTGGATTTTCTGCTTTTGTTTTGTTTTTATGATAATTTCATCGATACATGATGTATTTTTGTTCTGTACAAATTTTAGATTCATTTTGATCATTGTGACAATGAAATAATACACAAGGGAAACTGGATGCCTACTTCATTCAAACCTTACTGGTAAACACTGGATTTATTATTCATACATTTATTCTAGGAATTTGATACTTTTTAAACCTTATTTTGATATTAAATATCATTTAAAAATTACTTGCGACTTAAGTGTACATATTATACAATGGCTCACTAGTTGTTCTTAAACATTTTATTTTTTCTTCTATGAGGCAGATACATGATCTCATCATTCTGTTAAACATGATCTCAGACTCAGGCACTGAAGAGGTTCTTCTCTGCCTTCTCCTGAGAAGATTTTGGTGAAGACAAGACCACATACCTAGCTGATGGTAATGTAATTTGAGGGCCTTTCTGCCTTTTATTTATTATTCATTTCTTGTTTGTAAAATTCAATTAAATTTTTGTACTTCTGTGCACTGGCATGTTTCCTGAAAATGTTTTAATCCAAACATTTTATGTATGTCTTATTTATTCTGTAGAAAGAATACTATGTTATTTCCAGCTAGAAGTAGTTAATATTTCTTGCTATAGAAAGACCCAGTGCTCATTTTCTTAACTAATTTCCCTGAGGTTATGGTCAGCAAATGCTCAGTGAAGTGGCATACACTTGTTTTTGTGTGTGTGTGTGTATTTTTTACTTTCTAACTTTTCGGAAAGTACTGAAACTTTTAGGATTCTAGGTTTTAGCTTTTATTTAAACTCATAAAGTTTCAGAGATGTGGTAGAGGGTGAATGGAGGTTTACATAGAATAGACAGTCATGTGAATAATGATAACACAAATGAACATGCACGATGGACAATGGAACTCAAATCTACACAAAGCAGTATATTCTGCTGAGGAAATCTGGGAAAGGCATATGTCATTCTCAGGGAAGAGCACACAATTTTGTTATTTAGTACCAAAGGCCTGCTTTGAAAACATATGGCCATGTATTGTTAACAGAGTTATCTGGTTATATTTAAGAATAAATACGTATTTGTATAAATATATGCATCCAGCAAGAATTAGTATAAAATATGTAGAATATGAAGGAGAATATATAGAGGTATATGAGGCGGTGTGAAAGAGCAAGGAGAAATGTTTTAATTAAATTATACTATCAAAAATAAAAAGAAACAGAATAATTTACTACATGTACACACATGCAGAAACACACACACGAACACATATGCACACACGTTTGTGCACTAACACATGAATGCCCCACCACACAGAGGCAAACAGAAAAAGAGAAGACAGAGTTATCAAAATTAGCACAGAATAGTGTGACTAGGAAACAGGCAGGATTTTTCACTTGGGGTATGGAGGATGTCTTTTTAATATGATATTTAAATATTTATATTGAGTAAAATATTTTGAAGAAAAGAAGGTACCAGAGAAACAGTACTAGTGTTTGTATTCTGTTTGTTTTCTACATGTACACATGGGTTCAAATCTCACAACAAACTGCATGTTCGTAAACATACTGGCAGAGATAACATCACAATACATGAATACATATGTGCATACACACAAAAAGAGTTGAAAACATTACCATAGTTAGTGATTATAGGCATGGGGGATTTTAGAATCTGTTATGGAGGATGGTTTTTTACAAACACACAATACTTTTATCTTTGAGTTGAATAAGTTATTTTTAAAAAATGTTGGCATACCCTACCAATTAAAAATTCACACTCTCTTTCAGATTCCTGATATATTTTCACTAGTTTTATTACATACATATACATACACACCTGCACACACACATATATATATGTGTATATGTATTACATATAAGCAATTTGGTTCATATAACATTGAGAGAGAGAGAGAGAGAGAGAGAGAGAGAGAGAGAGAGAGAGAGAGAGAGAGAGAAGGATAGTAGGGGGAGTCAGAGAGATGTTGCGTAGCCTTCAAAGAAGACAGATGGCCAGGAACCTTACTGGTCATTGCATGCCTTGTGGTAAAATACAAAATAATAGAAATGAGTGGGTTAATTTAAGATATAAGAGCTACATCTTAAGAATATGCTAAAATTATTGGTCAAGCAGCATTGCAATTAAAGTAGTTTTATGTAATAATTTCAGGTCTGGGCAGCCAGGAAGTAATATGCAGTCTCTGTTTACACTTATGATTGATATAAATAATTATGCTTCCATATAATATATTATTCCTCTCTTCTGTGAAAAGGAATGCTGGGAAGAGTGTGATGTGCAGAACCCAGGCTTGCAAAGCAGCCAGGCATGCTGAATGGAGAGGCAACAGCTTCTACTACATGGAAATGCATGGGTTCTCTGATAAATCAGGTCATTCTAAAAAGGGTTTATTCCACTTGTTCTAGTGTATTTTTTTTTACATAGCAATGATCTGTTTGGGAGAGGCCAGTATTAGTTTGATTTTTATGAAATCATACATGGGCTTGCTTTAAAACATCCCAGCAAGTCCTTTCACGAACTCCATTATTATGATAACCTGCAGTCTGACTTTTGGCTTAGATAGGTATATGCTGTGGATCATATGGATGTTCTAAAGAACTTCAAACCATCAAACAATGAGGTCGGTACAGAGAGAGGACTTTGGGGAGGCAGAAGACATGGTGATGGAAAACTTTTCACAGAGAGGAGTCTGTATTAGAGAACATGTGCTTTAATGTGTTTTCTATCATTTAGTCATGGCATTATACTTACTGATATATTATATAATTATATACTAAATGAAAGGCTAAGAATTTATTGTGGCTGGAATTATAAAGTCTCATACCTTTAATTCCAGTACTTGGGAGACAGAGGTAAGCAGATCTATGATTTGTAGGCCAGCCTGGTATAAAGAATGAATTTCAGAACCGCCAAGGCTACACAACAAAATCTTGTCTGGCTATTTTCCTGCACAAAGAAAACATAAACAGAAACATAAAGAATTTATTATTTCATATTTTATTAATAACTGTAATTTATTGTTATGCAAAAGTGAGTAGTTGATGTTAGAATCATATATTTGTGACAAAAGTTTTAACACTAGAAAATAGCTCTAGTAGTTTGTCTACACCTTTGACCAGTTTACTGGAATGCTCACTTTAGTCAGCCCTCGAGTTATACCAAGAATCAAGATATCTTACCATTTCCTAGACTCATTTTCAACCGGAGATAGATTAAGTAATAAAGGAATAGATGAACCTTGCATTGCTCATTCTGGTGCCATGTTCTTCCTTATGTGATGGAACAGAGCATTTTTTCTGTTTTGAAGCATTTTTTTTTTTTTGTGAATTAAAGCATTTGCTTCTTGGAGGATGTTTCCTGGACCAAGTGTGTTTCATTCACTTATTCACCAAAGAATCTCATGAATTTAGATGCTTGAAAAGGCTTCTAAAATTGCCTATTTAAAAACATAGCAAATGATTATTGTGGTAATTTGGTCTGTTCAGTGGAGACGCTGACTGTCATGGCAGAGAAGAGCTTGGAAGGTTGAACTTTATCATGTGTGTGCCTGAATTCCATATGGGACCCTAGTAAGCACACTGACAGTATTCTTTGCCTTACATAAGATTTTCAGTTTTAGTAGGACACACCTATTAATTGATAATCCCATTATGTGTGCTACTCTGGTCATATTTAGGACTTTGTCTTCTTTGCCAATGCATTCAAGGCAACTTCCTACCTCACAGTAAATTCTCACTCATTAGTGGATATTAGGTGTAAGTAAAGGATGACCAGGGTACAATCCACAGACTCAGAGAGGCTAAATAACAAGGAAGGCCCTAAGAGATACAGGGACTGTAGAAGGAGCTGTGGGATGCTGTCCTGCCGCCTGGCTCCTGGCCCCCAGGTAGCTTATGCCCCGAAATAACAAAACACAAACTGTATTCATATAAACACTGCTTGTCCCATTTCTATTAATGTGTGTAGCACCACGAGGTGGTGATCTACCAGGGAGATTCTAGCCTACGTCCATCTTGGGTCGGAGCTTCATCGCATCTGCCCTGGAGAGCAGCAACATGGCATCTGTCTGAGGCGTCTTACCTCACTTCCTCCTCCTCCCAGCATTCTGTTCTGTTTACTCCATCCACCTATGTTCTAACCTATCAGGGCCAAGCAGTTTCTTTATTAATTAACCAATGACCTTCCTCCATCAAGTGACTTTCCCTTGGAAAGGGAAATAGAAGAGATCTCCTAAGTAAAATGGGTTTGTGGTCGATGGAGGTATGGGAAAATGAAGATTCAGGTTCAGTGGGTTTGGGCTGGGAAGAATAATGAATTAATGGAAAGAATAATGAAAGAGATATCCAGAATGGGGAACATTTTGTACACACACACCTGGGGACACACACACACATATGTATATACACACACACACACATAATTCAGAAGGTATTTTGAAGTATTTTCATAATAAATCTTAAATAATTTCATGACCATTATGACACATCAAAACCTTCCATGCACATAGAGTACATGGTTGATCAGGGATAGAACCCACCATTTTTTTCTTTATTCTAATCATCATTAACTAGGTCAGTCTAATAGTTCCAGTTCCATGTGATGGTTCATGTGTACATTCATAACAGTAATGGATATTGACATAGGCAGATAGCAAATATTCAGCAGCAAGCTGCACTAAGTTGCTCAGAAACACATTCAGGAGGGCTCATACAGAAATGTAGGCTTTCTTATAGGAATCCAGGATCTATTACAAAGGAGCCAGGTACATGCTCATGCTCCAGGTACATTTGATTGTTTTCCTTTCTTAGCAATTGGAGCCACATTTCATGTTAAATTACATTTTTTTTCTGTCTTTCTAGTTTCAGGTTCCTTGTTTCTGTGGTAACATACAGGGAGGGGGAGAGATACATGAGATAGCAGCTCAGATGAAAATCTCCATAGTTACTGCAGACCCTTGATTTCCATTGGTAACTTTGTGATCTGTTTCGTGATTGGCCCAAATCTATTCTCTAGATGATATCACACATTTAGCCAATCCTCAGGTAAGTGGAGATAATATCAGTCCTTTGACAAAGGATTTTTGTCAGTCAGGCTCCTGGCTGGATTCCAGCTCTCAGCTGGATCCTGGTTCTAGCCAGGACCTGACTATAACCTACTAGTCAGTGAAGAAGGGGTACTCCTGAAACCTGCAAGGAGACAGAGGCAATTGACATCTAGCATAGCCAGGTACTTGATGAGAAGTCCCACATGCTGAATGAGTCAGCTCCTTTTCCTGTTCAGTAAATACATTCCTGTTTCCTAAGCCGCTGTTTCCTTTAAGATACGTCATTGTCTTTCACCTATGGAATTTGGCTTTATCTGTAGTGCATGTGATTCTTCTCAGCCTTCAGTATCTAACCAAGACAGGGGACCTGCTGCTCCTTACACTCCCTTCATGGGCCTACTGTGTGTATAATTTTCTTTAAGTAAATCTCTTACATGGCATCCTGAAACTCTGAGAGCCCACAGCTGAAACATGGGTTTTATTTGCATGTGTCTTTTCACTAAAGATAATTTTTGTTCCAAACAATATATAATGACTATGGTTTCCTGTCCTTCAACTCCTTTAAGATATTTTCCTCATTCCCACCTGCCCAAATCTATACTCTTTATGTCTGTCTGACTGTCTGTCTGTCTGTCTCTTGATCTCTTTCTCTCTCTCATGTGTGCGCTTTATTTTTTCTTCCACTAATTTGAATATACAATGCATATATTAATAATAAAAATGATAATAATAGTAAAATATCAATAATAATAAATAATAAAAACATCAGAATAGGACAAAAGAACCAAATAAATATAAGAAAATTAATCAAACAAAAGCAGAAAAAGCACATAAATGCAAAGACAAGTATGTTCATGCAAACATAAATGCCACAAAATCACAACCATTGTGGGATTCCCCTCTGTATGCTGTGAATATCAAAGGTTAATAAAGAAGCTGGCTTTGCCTGATAGAATGGAACTAGCTAGGCTGGGAAAATTAAACTGAATGCTGAGAGGAGGGTGAGTTAGAGGGAACCTGTGGAGCTACTGCCAGAGACAGACACACTGAAACTTTGATGTTAGGCCACAATCTTGTAGTGTTTCACAGATTAATGGAGATGGGTTAAATTAAGATGTAAGAGTTAGGCAATAGGAAACTAATGGTCCAAGCAGTGATTTAAATAATAAAGATTTTGTGTGAATATTTGGAGGCCGGGGCAGCTGGGAAAAAATAAAGTGTCTCCTTACAACACCCATAATCATAACCTTTATATATAGGCAAAGGAAATATGAGGTTAAAAATTTGCTGGAAAGAATTATGAGACAAAGAATCTCAAAAAATTTAGATAGGTGCCTTGTATGTGTGCCTCCTACTTCTGGGCACTGAATCCTCTCTTAAGAGTGGTTTGTTTGTGCAGCAAGGCTCCACTGCGTGAAGCATGTCATTCATTTGCTTTCAGGTATTGATTGGACTTATGAAAAGTTTTTGTTTTCTAGTACCAAATGACTATCGGAGAGCAGAGAACCATAAACGTAATATCCTTATTTTATCCCTTCTGTTTTCATCAATAACCACACATACTGTATGTTCTAATCTAATTCTCTTTTCAGGTATATATTGTTTCTACTATGTGTCAAATACATTTGCTTATTCTTTCTGGTCTGGACACTCCAGTATTTGAGATGAGCAAGGTAAGCTGGCTGTCCATATTCCCATGGGAAGAACTTTTCTACCAAGTATAAAGTCAAAGATACTTACACTCTTATATAAAAAAAAGCTATACTCAAATGGATGCTGACTTATGGTAAGTTTGTAAGGATTCACTGTATATTTACTACATTATCCTAATAATTGTTACTGTAATCTGCAAATTTAATATTTCAATTATAGGAGATATTTAAATAATTTTAAGCTTAATTTTCAATTTATCTATAAACTCAGATTAATATTTTGTCTTTGGATTGTACATTGCTGAGCTCTTTTAATTTTTCCTATGAAACGTGGGGTCCCAAGAAATATCTGCTTACATTAATGATAATGGAATTTTTGGGAGAGATTGGACAGTAGCGTAGAGAAGTCTGAATGTAATCATCCTTAGGTACTCAAAGATATGCATCCTTATGTCACATCAGCTCCTACAGATACATCATTGGGATTACAGTTTTGAAGTACAAAGAATAAAAAATTGCCATGGGACCGTTTAATATTTTGTAATTTTTATCTGATTTATTTTTGAAATTTTCATATATTTACCCAGTATGTGCTTTATCATATAAACCATTACTCAGCCAAACGTCTTTTCAAACTTTACATCCTTGATGCATGGTTAAAAGGGCTCAGAAAGAGATTCTGGGGTTCAATCTAAGGATGTGAGAAGAAAAACAGCCAGACATTGGCTTTTACCTCGACCCCTTTGGAAATGGTGTTGCTGCCTTCATGAATCTCAGAATGAAACTGTGTCAGAGCACTATCTCTTTTCATTTTATTATCCTCTCTGGATTAAAGATGTGCACCACCGTGATTAAAGGCATGCGCTTCCCCCTATCTATGTCAACTAGAGTAGCTACATGATTATTGGTGCATGCAACCAGTGGCTGGTCTCTAAGCCCATGGGGCTGTTTTCCTCTCTGGTATTCAGGAAGCCTTTATTAAAATACAATTGAAATTTCACTACACATCCTCCTTCCATAATAATTTATTTGCTTATCCATCAGATCTATTTATATGGATACATTGAAAAATAATACATGAAAAAGAAAGGAGCATTCCATTTTTCTTGATCACAAAATGAGTGATGTCGAAAGAGCAGAAAGCAGAGTGTCTCTGAGGTGTGTCTATCCAAGAGGCCACAGGAAAACTTAGGAAATGACAACTGTCCATAACACAAGACAGCTTTTTGCTGATACTATTTATACATGCTATGTGTAGAGCAGACATTGGTAACCTATGAAAGTGAAGCTGTTTTTCACAAGGGTATAATTAAGAGAATATTTAAGGCATTTTTCTCTTTATTCTAGGAAGAAAACAGACAAGAAAGCTTGCACTTCAAGCTTACTCAGTTAATATTCTTTCCTTCTCAGTTCTCTGAAGCAAATAAGGATGAGATTGTTAATGTTTTCCTTCTCACAAGATTCAGAAAAGACATTTGCTAAAAAGATGTAAAGTATATTTGTTTCAGAGACATTAAGAGATAATTTTTGTTATGCAAGTGAGAATAGAGAGGGAGTTAGGTACTACCTTTTAGTTTCACCTAATTAGGATAGATAATGCAGTATTTACTCCAAATTCTTTAAGCTTAATAAAGTTACCAAAGTTATATGTGATTACATATGCATATTTTTATTAAGTGGAATATTTTTCTCTGCTCCCCTCCCTGCTTCTTCCCTTTCCCCTTCAACCCTCCCAGAATCTGGTTTTCCTACCCACAAAGATTGCTCCACAATATGACACTTGTGTTTATGTTTATTTCACCTACTTCAGGCTATATAAAATTTTTATTCTGTCCTCTACAGTTATTCTGCCTAATGTAATGAGGATAGACACCGGAAATGAAAGAAGGACAGACATTCAGACACATGTATTGAATTGTGGGAGTCCATAGGCTGTGCTTGCTTTGGTGAAGGAAATTCCCTGTGACTGGCTTGTCAGTCACATCTGGATTGTAAACATCTTGATTCAGGAGGTGTATTTCCAGTATATGGCTGAGAGAGTCAGGTTTATTGTATATGGAAGAAAAAGGAGACAAATAAGGCTAGTACTGATAATAGTTTTGTGTGAAGTATTATCACAGACTGTACTTATCCATTTAGAAGGAAGGTAACTAGGAAGATTTATTTGCTATCCCACTGAGTCTTAGATGTGTAAGTTTTTAACAACCCCGTGAGTCAGAGGCCATGGAACCTAGCCATGTCAAAAAAAAAAAAAACTCACCACGTTGTCTCAGAACTTCATCATAACTTCACAAGGTTTTAAAATATACTTTTCAGTGTATAATGTTTGGAACTTATTGATATTTGCATTGTATTTTTAGATAGTACATCTGCAAGGATTTTCATACATGGATTACATGAATCTGGAAGCTATAATTTCTTATTTGCTGTCCAAGCATTTGAAGCTGCTGTGCTACATAGGGACAAGGTGTGTTCACTGTAAAGAGCCTGACCCTGAGGATCAGAGTAAAGTCACTCGCACAGAATTTGATCTTGGGAAATCTCAAGTGTTTATGCTCTTTCTTGTTGCTCAAAAATTTTCACTGCTTCTCTCTACTAACACTTCCAAAGTAACTGAGGTCCATTTTCTAGGACCGCTGAGATTAACATGGTCCTGTCTTGTGGTGTTGCTTTGTTGCATGAAGCCCACATTTTTACCACTTCTCTAATGAAGGACGAATATAGTCCATAGAATACAAGTGCTTGTTTAATTTCCTTTATATCAGTCATATGTATGGACTCCCATGTATATTCTTTGACTACCTCAGGATAGGTGCCAGATGTTCTTTCTGATGATATCATCAGAAAAGTAGGTAAAATTCTGGGTAATCTATCCCAGAGTTTATTATGTACTGATGAGGCTAAATTTTTCTTTGTACCTTTTGTCTTTGCTTATCAAATTTTATAAATTTCTTAATCATTTCAAATTTTTTCATCCCTGTCTTTTGTAGAGTCTGGATCTCCTTTCCAGTGTTCTCTTCTAGTGCCCTCATTGAAGATTCCCAGGTTTGAAGCCTTTCCGGTAAAAATAATGTCTCATCCTTGGACATAATTTTTGTAGCATGCATATTGTGTTTCTGGAGGGACATACTATCATTCAATCTATCATAACTCTTTGACAGAGTCCAGTTAATAGAATCAACGGAAGTCTATGACTGTTATGTTGCCACCCCAGCACACAGAGGGGAAGAAAGGAGGGATATCCGCATCCATCACTGGACCAAGAAACCAACCACACAGTCACAGGTGAAATGATGAATAATAGAGATGATGGTCTGAACCATCAAGTCACTTGTTTTTTTTTTTTTGTGGAAAAAATATTTCATATCTGACATTCAGTGCAATAAGATATTCTGGTAATGAATAAAATGGGGAAGATGTTGACACTTGGGGAAAATTGATAAAATTACTGAAAATCATAGATTTACTATGTAGATTTCTAGGAATGACAGTAATGGTGTTTATACCAACATATCATGTTTAAATGGAATTCAACAATGGGGAACTAAATATCTGTGAAAATCTCTCTCTCTCCCAACTTGATAGTGCTAGTATTGTTTAAAGTATATTTTATTTAGTGGAATCTCCTTTCAGATGAACATAAATAGCGTTCTACCTGAGATGCTAATTGGATATTTTGAAAGAGAAAACTAGTGTGGCCTTCATGGTTGTTCACCACACCAAATTCAGCTCAGTGATCAGGAACATAATTCCCTCCCTTAGAACTCCTTTTCTGTTTTCACATCACACCTTCATTTTCCCACTGCTTACAAATAAAGTGCATGAGCAGTAAGATACCAGCATTTTATCAGATTTAAACAATTAACAATTTAGAGCTTGTTTCACACATTTGGAAAATCATGGGGTATGTAAAAGATAGAAGCCATTCTTATTCATGACGCAGGATTGATAAACAAACTAAAGATTCTGCATTTGAGAAAAAAAAAGGAGAATCAAGAAGTCACACTGTAGAATGAACTGTCTGATCATTCCACATATCTTTTTCACACTCCTTACTCTGCAGAACATCCCTTGTGAACTGTACACACAAATCTGCCATACAGCACAGAGGATTCAGTGATAAGATCCAGTTATATGGTAGTTAGAGCTCACTGTTAAGAATGGAATCCACGATCTACTACAGCCCTGGAGAGTCCACTAGGAGACCTGTTTACAAAGGGTTTTCAGAAACCATATTGTAAGATATGTGTGTTTACATCCATCCTGCTTGAGAATAAGCTCACACTTAAATCTGATTGATAGCATGGCATGTGTGAACTGCCACAACTCTAGAAAAGCTCACCCAGGAGACAATTACAGAGGGTTTTCAGAAGTAAAATTGTTATAAATATGTCACTACAGTAATCCTGCCTGAGAACAAGGTCTGAACATCTTGCATAGATATGAGAATCTAGCAAATCTTTGATGCAAAACATAAAAAGATTTGTGTTTTCATTAGCTTTTGGAGGAACAGTAATGCATCCTCTTTCAGTCAGCATTCTAAATCTTGAGAAGATTTTTGCTCACTGTTTTTATCTATAACCACCAGAGTCCATTCATGTTTCCAAGATAGGGTGCATTGCCTTCTTTTGTGACAGAAGATGAGGTGGTCTATGTGATCTTCATTTCTTAGACTGCACCAAACAGATTGAACAAGGCAGCTTTAGGGACAATTAAATTTACAGTGCTGTTTCATATTTCCAGTGTAGCGCAGAATTTGTTTCCTTTTGTCTAGTTCCTTACAAGGTTTGCACTCCAGCATGCATCATCCACTACTGCTGATTTTCTCTCTTCCTTCTCAGTTGCTATTTCAGGTTGGAATCCTACTTGTTCATATATACTGTACAGTTCTGCGCTCTCTCTGTCACTCTTAAGATCTCTCTCTCTCTCTCTTTCTCTCTCTCTCTCTCAATGAAAAAATGAAAATGAAAACAAATAGAAAACCTAACAAAGCAATAAATAGCATTATGACACACACACACAAACAAACAACAAAACAATCATAAACATGAATTTCATTCTATGTTTGCCTGCTACTCCTGGGCTTGAAGCCAGGCCTAGATGGTGTTTAATATTCTCAGTGACTCTATTTCAAAAATCTGATTTTCCATTTCTCAACAGATGTAAATTTAATAAATGTTTCTTATAGGAATAGGACTTTGTTTCTAAACATTTTATCAATATTGGGGTTGTAAGTGGTTTGAACATTTGGAAGTTTTGTTCATGCCGATTAGTGTAGAAGAGTCCTAAAATATGTTCATATATGATAGCAATTTAAAAGCAATCAATATGTGAAGGGAAAAATTCCCCAGCTGTCATGCCACTAATTAAACCTCCACGAACTGATCATATCTCTGTAACAAACTATGATGGAACTGTTTTAGCTTAGAAGGGTTAGAGGATGACTGTGGATATCCAAGAAAATATTTTGGTTTCAAACATGATTTCTGCTCAGAGAATGTAGGGGAATGGTGAACAGATTGATTGGAAAGCCTTTCACAGAGTGAAGGCATAAGTCACAAACAATCCCACACCAGTTTGGAATTATGATTAATATAATGGTTATTTATTTAAGGGGGAAAACTTGCAGATCACCATCAAAGACAATATCCCTTTAAGCAATCAGGAAAGGAGCCTAGTACCTGGAAGAGATGCAGGAAGCCAGAGAGCAAGAAGAGGGCAGTTGCTGCTTTTTCAAAGAGAGAGAGAGAGACCACGCCCCAATGGACTGGTATCTCAGTGCCTATTGGCTGAAGGAGTGGAAGGGGCTCCATCTACACCTCCCCCTTTTATAAGTAAGAGAGTTCCAAACCTACTATGAAATTATATACAACAAGTACAAATATCCTATTCTAACTTCTTAAGTCTTGTATAATAAATAACTTGGCCAAGTCATGAGAGGAAAGTAACTACATTTCTATAGACTTCAACCCCATCAAAGATCTGAAAAGGGAAATAATGTTACCTGAGTAATTAGTAAGTGCAATCAAACAACTTCCAAAACACGCAACAAATCACAGAGACAACTGGCTACCTGGCTAACCACCCAAAGTCACGTTTGCAGCGTTGAAGCAACCAACTTTGGCTAAGGACTCACGTAACTGACATACCATTTTCAAAGGCAAGAAACTTTTCAAACTATCTTACCCTGTCTTGGCAGGACATAACAGTCCTGTTTTATCCATTTACGGATACTCTGTATCTCTGTCAATGGTTGAGGTATGGCCATTTCTTTGCCGAAAGGCCAGTTCTGCCAAGAAGAAAGGCTGCAGGTGGAGTGTCTTTGGTGCTCAACATTCCCTCAGGAATAGATTGTTGTTGCCAGGAGCAATTGTGTCTCACTACCACCAAACTCTGAGTTAAATTAAAGGCCATTTTCTACAGCACTTTGAAAAGGTTGAAGATTATCTATCTATACTGAGTATAATCTCTATGTATCTAAAGAACCTGATTAGTCTAATTATAAATGACAAACATAGATGACTATTGATCTATATAATTCTCAATACCTATCTAACTTAAAGACTAAGACAATAAACAACTGTGCAATAAATGAGGACAATGACCTCCAAAAGTAAAGAATGCACAAGTATACATTGCAATATGTATATATATATATATATATATATCTCAATACATAAACAGTATCTTAATCAGAGGTAGAAATGTACACTGCAATATGGTCAATATACATATATAAATATAGTATATATCAATACATAAAAATGTATTATAGAGGTAGAAACATGCACACATACAATAATCAATATAATTTAACTTTGTATCGATATACAAGAATCGATACCAATATATTTTATTGTACTTTTATTTAATTTTTCATCATTTATTATGCGTTATGACTTCATCCCATCTTCACATTACAACAAGTACCAAACACTCTTTTTTACCCAGTCCTCGATTCTCAAACTGAGATGAAGTTAAACAAGAATGAGTAGATGAACGTTGAATGTGCTTATTTGGTCAGCAAGTTCTATCCTCATATGACCCAGATTAGTGCATTTTCTCTGTCATCAATCAATTTTATCTTAAAGAAAACAATTCCTCTTTTGGTAGGACATTTGCTGGATGTGGGCCACTCCATTCACTAAACTGTTAAGGAAGCTCATGAACTTATTATTTTGTAAAGACTTCTTCAATTTCCCTCATGTATATAAATAGTAAGTAACGATTGCTGTATCAGGGGCTGTTAAGTGGGGTCATGGAGGGAAATTCCAGCTTTGCAGCTGTCCCAAGTCATAACCATGTTGCACTGAGCTTTTGGGTGATGCTTGTGTCTGAATTCCATCTGTAACCCCTCAACACTCATTTTTTTCACCAAGTAGAAATTTAGTATATTTATTTTTAATTTTATGGATGTTGTGTCCCAGATGATTGGACCTTCTTTTATGTCTCTTCAAGAAAAGAAAATTTGTAGAAAAGTATTTCTAAGCCCAATTTACATTTTTCACATTTTTTAAAAAAATATTCCTTTCATTTTCACCCTAAACTTCCTATACATTCCTCTTGTCCTCTTTAACCTTATGTTTGGTCTTCTTTTAGATTGTTGTTACATGTATGTATGTATGTAAATATATGTATATGTATGCAAATATATCCTACTACATCTGTATAATTTTGTTTTTATGCTTTTGGGAATGACCATGTTGCATTGGAGTTGTTGTTTGTGATTCCATTGTTAAAACCATATTTCTTATTACTTATAAAACCTTTTGGAATATTTATGCATTTTTTGCTTTTTCCAACAATAGACAGATTTCAGTATTTTGAGCATTGCTATGGATACTTACTTTTAGTAAGTTACCATGAAAGTCAAGCTGCCACGAGTATGCTCTTGATTTTCTCACGTGCATTTTTCAGTTAATTATTCGATACCAGGCCTCCTCTTATGCTTCCTCTATTTCCTGGATCCTTAGGAAAAGTGCATTTCTGTAGCATCATGTGTCAGGATTGGAGGAGCCTGTGGAAACACACCAAGGTAGCCCTGTGCACCAGATTGAACCTAGAGAACATTTATATCTTTCTTCTGTGACTTCTGTGGCTGCACATCTTAGAAACACTTGTTTTAAATAATACTTTAAAGATTAATTTGTAGGCTATACAATCTTTGATTATTCCTTAAATTATAGCTACATTTCAGTTTTGGTATGTTCATTCTTTACTTGTGTATATTTTAAATTCTGGAAGGTTTAATATGATTGCGTCATTTCTCCCTTTCATTTCTTCTCTTGTATTTCTATCATGTATTGATTCTTGTTCACTTTGAAGTCCATGGCTTTGTTTTCATTGTCCATTCACACAAATACACGCCCATGCAGGCACATACAAGTGCGCGCGCGCGCGCACACACACATACACACACACACACACATATTAAATACACACACACTTATGAACAATGTTAAGTGAATGAAAATAAAATTCTCATGTGGCATCCACTTATCATGAAACTTTTGAGAAAAATTTTACCTAGTATGTCTTTGGCATTTCTCGGTTGAGTTCAATGATAACTAGTAAATGATAATTGTGAGCCCTCACCTTATCTCAAATAATATTATGTGCATATGCGTTTGTGTGTTTGTTTATATATGTGTGTGTGTGTGTGTGTGTCTGTGTGTGACTGTTGTTACATTGCAGTAAGTTTTGAAACTAGGAATTATTTTTGGAAGTTTCTGATTTTGTTTTATTTTAATAATAATTTCATTGATACATGATGTTATTTTGGTTCTGTACAAATTTGAGATTCATTTTGATCATTATGAGAAAGAATGACACACAAGGGGAACTGGATGCCTACTTCATTCAAACTGTATGTTACTTGTAAACATTGGATTTATTATCATCCATCAATTCTAGGAATTTGATACTTTTAATCCTTATTTTGATATAAATAATCATATGAAAATTATTTGCGGTTTAAGTATACATATTTTACATTGGCTCACTAATTGTTCTTAAACATTTTATTTTTCCTTCTATGATGCAGATAACTGATTTCATCATCCTGTTCAACATGATCTCAGACATAGGCACAGATTAGATCCTTCTCTGCCTTCTCCTGAGAAGCTTTTGGTGAAGACACAGACCACACACCTTCATGATGGTATTGTAATCTGAGGGGCTTTCTGCCTTTTATTTATTATTCATTGCTTGTCTGTATACTCAGTCAACTTTTTATATTTCAGTGAACTGGCCTGTTTCCTGACCATGTTTTTAATCCATACATTTTATGCATGTCTTATTATTTTTGTAGAAAGCACACTTTATTATTTCCACCTAGACGTAGTTAATATTTCTTGCTATAGAAACACCAGCTGCTCATTTTCTCGACTAATTTCCCTGACATAATGCTCAGCAAATGTTCAGTGAAGTGGAATCCACTTGTTTCTTTTACGTTCTAAATTTTGGGAAAGTACTGAAACTTTTAGAATTCTAGGTTTTAGTTTTCATTTAAAGTCATGAAATTTCAGAGATGTGGTAGAAGGTGACCGGAGGTTTACGTAGAATAGTCAGTTATGTGAATAATGATAACACAAATGAACATGCACAATGGACAAAGGAAAGCCCAGAAGAACTAAAACTTACACAAAGCAGTATATTCTGCTGAGGAAATCTGGGAAAGGCATATGTCATTCTCAGGGAAGAGCATACAACTTTGTTATTTAGTACCAAAAGGCCTGCTTTGAAAACATATGGGCAGGTATTGTTAACAGAGTTCTCAGGTTATATTTGAGAATAAATATGTATTTGTATAAATATATGCATCCAGCAAGAATTAGCAAAAAATGAGTTCACAGATATGAAAGAAAATATATAGAGGTATATGGGAGGGTTTGAAAGAGCAAGGAGATGGGAGTAATGTTTTAATTAAAGTATATTCTCAAAAACAAAAAGAAACAGAATAACTTACTACATCTACTCACATGCAGAAACACAAACACACACACATGAACCCATATGCACATGTTTGTTCACAAACATATGAATGTCCCACCACACAGAGGCAAACAGAAAATAAGAATACAGACTTATAAAAATTAGCACAGAATAGTGTGACTAGGAAATAGGGAGGATTTTTCAGTTGGGATATGGAGAGTGGCTTTTGTATATAATATTTATATATTATATTGAGGGAAATATTTTTAAGTAATAAAGTTACCAGAGAAACAGCAATAGTCTTTGTATTCTGTTTGTTACCTACATGGTAACCTGGGTTCAAATCTCACATAAAACTGCATATTCATAACAAAAAGGCACAGACACACAGCACAATACCTGTTTGCACATGCGCATACACACCAAGAAGAGAGTTGTCAAAGTTAGCATAGGTAGTGATTATAGACATGGGGAGACTTTAGGTTATGTTATGGAGGATGGCTTTTAACAAACACTCAATATTTTTTATCCCTGAATTGAATAAGTTATTTTTAAGAAATGATGGCACACTCTTCCAATTATAAATTGACTCTCTTTCAAATTCCTGATCTATTTTTCACTAGTTGATATTGCATACATATACCCCCCACCACCAACACGTGTGTGTGTGTGTGTGTGTGTATTTATTACATATAAGCTATTTAGTCCATATAATATTGCTTGTATCTTTCTTTTAATGGCTGATTGTTCAGAGTTTAATCATCATTTCACATCTAACATGTATCAATCACCCCACCTGTATTCACCTGTCACTTCAGTGAGGTAAGTCATGTAATTTAATGAAGTTGAATTACTTTGAGTTGCTCCTTTAAATCATTAATCATTTTCAATTATTTTTCTTACAAGTCATCCTATGGCTATGTACACCCTATGTCAGTTATTCTCCATCTTCATAATGCAGCAACACTTTAAAACAGTTTCTGATGTTGTGGTGACCCCCATTCATAAAACTCTTTGTGTTGCCATTGCATAACTGTAAGTCTGATAAGTACAGTGATTATAATGTCAATATCAGTGTCTCCACATGGTCTTAGGTGACCCTAGTGTAGTCCCCTTAAAGGGCTGAGATCAAAAGATTGAGCACCATGGACCTATGCAAATTTTATTTTCTTTGTGTTTACTTTCTTATGGAATATTTTAAGATGGTAAGATTTCAGTGTCAGGATAATTGTCAAGTGACACACATTAGAAACAATTTAACAAACAACAATAAACATATTTCATCACTTACAGATCTGAGAGGAGAACATTCACATGCCTCAAAGGTAATGGAATGACAGAATGATAACACACCAGGAAACACTGAAGTTATAATTAGATGAAAATACACAGATAGCTGTTAATTAGGTAAATAGGTGCAGAAGAGGAGGTGAGCAGAACGGGGTCACTTCCTTTTTATCATGCATAGACATTTTTGAAAAACTTCTGTTTTTCTTTCATCATGGGTTCAGAGGAAGTTAACAGGTTTCCTGGGGTCTTATGTTAACTAAACAGGAGTTGCTCTTCTCCTCCACATGACCTGTATAAGCTGTGAGAATCAGTGCCCAATCTAAAATGTTGTTCTCAATTTCTACAAAGATGACCTTTTAACTGAACTAAATTTAATTTTAATCAATTTTAAGTGAGTTTTAAGAACTCTAGCTCTTTCAGGAGGCTGAACACTTGAATGTGGTTTGTGGGCATTAGCATGCTGTCAGTTCCTTGCTGACAGCATGGACCAAATGATTACCAAAGTTGAGGTGGTAAGTGCACTCCCTTCCAGGTGGTCCCAGAGCCAGCCATGAATTACCTAGAGGCAGGGCCAGTATCCATGGCTGTGGTGACTCACCATTTTAAAATGCTCTTTGTCAGAAAAAGATTTCAGATACACAATAAGACATATTCAGCCTTAAAAGTCTCTAAATAAGACACAGTGTGATTAAAAAACTGTACATAGGCTTGGGAGAGAAAAAAAAAGAGTAAAAAGAGTTGTAAAAAGAAGTAATTCATTTAAAAATAATTAAACAAAGTATTTAAAGAGACAGCACAGATTAAGGGAATAAAGGAAAATAAACTACATAGAGATAGAATATACACAGAGAGTCTGGATTATGTATGCTATTGTGTTTTCAATGAAGATTATGAATGTGAATGAGCTAAGTACAAAGAGCCATTTTATTGTATGTGCTGCTAAGCTAAAGCAACATATATACCATAAAGGTATCTTGACTTTAGAATTTGGGTCTAAGGTTCGCTTTTCTTTCAGAGAGGATGGAAAGCTGTAGATTCCTTACCGGCTAGTATGGTTTGATCAAACAAGTGCCCCGGAAACAATAGCCTATGTATTCCAACAATCACAACAGCTTCAGGACTGAAGGTTGAGATAGATCATACACACAGGATACCCCCCATGAAAGACCTGATTTACAGTGCTTCTAATCAGGAGGAATTAATCTAGAGAACAATGCCCAAACTCCCAAATATCGTTTATAATTGTTAGTTTTCCTTTAAATGGGGGTATGATCCAGACACAAATACTTTGTATTAGTATGGATTTTGGTCAATTGATACAAATATAAGGCCAATTTTGTTATATGTATATCTCTACTCTTGATGATGGTATTGTGTTTGTGCTACTCATTTAAAGATTTACAAATGTAATGTGTGTTTAGGAAAAAAAGGTTATTTATAATATTCCTCTTTCAGTCATGTTAGTTAGCTTTGCAAGATATACAAAGATATATTACAGATAGATAAGTATTTTTCAACTCTTTCAAAGATGTCTTAAAATCTATGACTTTTCATGACAATGAGACACATCTGCTCCTGGCAGCACCAATTTACTTCAAGAGGATTACAGACACTCAGGAGGCTCCTTATTGAGTTTTTAGTGAGTTGGGCAAGAAACTGGTCTTGTCTAGACTGTTTGATGTTATGCTGTATGCAGTGCAATGCAGGATCCACAGAAAAATAACTGCTGAAATTGCCTAAAGAAGGTGAGACAGTCTTTGAGGGTTCTTGCTTCATGAAAGAATCTGTCAGACAATCTGCAGGACACAGTAGAAAGCAACTGACAAACTGCCAATATAGGTGGGACTGGCTTTGAAATTTACTACTTCATGGAAAGGCTGTAAGATGCTATGTTGCTGTAGGCTGAAGTTGGGTGCCCCAATGTTACATAAGAACTTTGAGTGACTGCCCAGGCATCAAGATGTCTCTGTCAATTCTAGAGATTTGGAAGTGCTTACAATGCACGTCCTGTTTACTTAGGTAATATTTTGTCATTCTGAAGAATTTGATGGAGTAGAAGAAGGGATTGTTATTGTTTTCCTTAGTTATGGTAAAGGAAAAAGTATATATAAATATAAATATTGTAAGCATAATTTTTGTTTGATACCTGTTTTCTTATATGTAATTTTACTATGTAAAAGTTAAAACCTTCCTTTTTATTTATATAGAAAGGGGAGTTAATGTGGGATTCCCCTCTGTATGCTGTGAATATGTTTTATTACCATTTGTTAAGAAATAAGCTGTTTGGGGCCAATATCAGGACACAATATAGCCAGGCAGAGATTCTGATATATATATATATATATATATATATATATATATATATATATAGATAGATATAGATATATATATAGATATAGAGACAAAGATAGATAGATAGATATAGAGATAGATAGATAGATAGATAGATAGATAGATAGATAGATAGAGAGTAGTTGCAGTCAGAGAGATGTCATGTAGCCCCCAAAGGAGACAAATGGCCAGGAACCTTACTGGTAAATACAAGCCTTGTGGTAAATTACAAAATAATAGAAATGGGTGGGTTAATTTAAGATGTAAGAGCTACATCTAAGAATATGCTAAAATCAATTAATGGAGTTTTGTGTAATTATTTCTGTTCTGGCAGCCAGGAACTATCAAGTAATCTCTGCTTACACTTATCCTTTATGTGAATAATTATGCTTCCATATAATATGTTATTCCTCTCTTCTGTGAAAAGAAAGGCTGGGAAAAACCTGGGCTTACAAATGCAGTCAGATATACTGAATGGAGAGACAACAGCTTCTACTACAGTGGCAATGCATGGGCTCTCAGATAAATCAGGTCATTCTATAAAGGGTTTATTCCACTTGTTGTAGTGTATTTTTTTTCACATAGGGATGATCTGTTTGGGAGAGGGCAGTCTTAGTTTCATTTTTATGAAGTCATACACGGGCTTGCTTAAAAATATTCCAGCAAGTTCTTTCAGAGACTCCATTATTATGACAACCTGCAGTCTGACTTTTGGGCTTAGATAGGTATATGCTGTGGATCATGTGGAAGTTCTAAAGAACATCAAACCATCAAACCATGAGGTCAGTACAATGCTTGCACTGTGGGGAGGCAGAAGACACGGTGATGGAAAACTTTTCATGAATAGGGGTCTCTATTGGAGAACATGTGCTTTGTATCCTTTAATCATGGTATTATACTTACACATAAATTATATAATTATATACTAAACGAAAGGCTAAGAATTTATTATGGCTGGACTCTGGAGTATCATACCTTTATTTCCAGCATTTGGGAGACAGAGGTAAGCAGATCTATGATTTGTAGGCCAGCCTGGTGTACAGAATGAGTTCTAGAACCGCCAAGGCTACACAACAAAATCCTGTCTGGCAATTTTCCCGCACAAAGAAAATATAAACAATAAACTGTAAAATATTCATTATTTCATATTTTAAAAACATAGCAAATGCTTATTGTGGTAGTTTTGTCTGTTCAGTGGAGATGCTGACTGTCAAGGGAAAGAATACCTTGCTCTTCAGCTGCCACAAGTAATTGCCGTTGCAAGGTTGAACTGTATCATGATGCCTGTGCCTGGATTTCATAGGTAGATAGCTGCATTATGCTGCCCTGAGTCACATTCAAGAGGGCTCATACAGAAATTCAGACTTTCTTATAGGAAGCCAGGATCTATTCCCAAGGAGCCAGGTACATGCTCACGCTGCAGGCACCTCTGATTGTTTTCCTCTGTTATCAATTAGAGCCAGCTTCCATGTTAAATTACATTTTTTTCTGTCTTTCTAGTTACAGTTACCCTGTTTATGTGGTAACATACAGGGAAGGGGAGAGATACATGAAATAGCAGCTTAGATGGAAATCTCCATAGTTACAGCAGGCCCTTGATTTCCATTGGTAGCTTTGAGATCTGTCTCTTGATTGGCCCCAATCCATTCTCTAGATGATATCACATAGTTAGCCAATCCGAGGCAAACAGAGATAATATCAGTCTGTTCACAAAGGGGTTTTTTCAGTCAGGCTCCTGGCTGGAGTCCAGCTCTCAGCTGGATCCTGGTTCTAGCCAGGACCTGACTATAACATACTAGTCAGTGAAGGAGGATTCCTCCTGAAACCTACCCGGAGACAGAGTTAATTGATATCCAGCATAGCCAGGTACTTGGTAAGATTTCCTATATGCTGACTATGTCACCTGCTCCTTTTTCCTGTGCAGGAAATGTGTTCCCGCTTCCTAAGCCGCTTTGTCCCCTGTAAGATACGTCATCACCATTCAATTTTATGTTTTGGCATTATCTGCAATGCATGGGATTCATCTCAGACGTCAGTATCTAAACAAGACAGGAGATCTGCTGCTCCTTACCCTCCCTTCATGGGCCTACTGTGTGAATAATTTTCTTTAAGTGGATGTCTTTCATGGCCACCTGAAACTCTGAGAGCTCACAGCTGAAACATTTGCTGATACTATGTTTTATTTGCATGTTGTCTTTTCTTTAAATATAGTTTTTTCCTTATAATATATAATGACTATGGTTTTCTATTTCCTGTCTATATTCGACATTCACATCTGCCCAAATCTATACACTTTCCTTCTGTCTACCTGTCTGTCTCATGCTCTCTGTTTCTCTCTTGCATGTGCGCTCTTCATTTATTACTTCCTCTCAATTGAATATACCCAGACATCTAATAATAATAGTGACGATAATAATAACAGTACAATATCAATAATAATAATATCAATAATAATAAAAAATAAAAACAAGAGAATAGGACAAAAGAAACAAGTATAAGAAAAATAGACATAGGAAAGGAGTAAAAGATACATAGATGCAAAGACACCTATCTTCATGCAAAGATAAATGTCACAAAAACACAAATGATGTCGGATTCCCCTCTGTATGTTGTGAATACCATTGGTTAGTAAAGAAACTGGCATGGCCTGATAGGATGGAACAGAGTGTGGCTGGAAATCTAAACTGAAACCTGAGAGAAAAGAAGCTGAGTTAGAGAGAAGCCATGGAGCTTCTGCCAGAGACAGACACACTGAAACTTTGTTGTTAAACTATGACTTCGTGGTGTTTCCCAGATTAATGGAGATGTATTAAATTAAGATGTAAGAGTTAGCCAATAAGAAGCTAATGCTCCAAGCAGTGATTGAAATAATACATTTTTCTGTGTGATTATTTTGGGCCTGGGCAGCTGGGAAACAAACAAGGGGCTTCTTACAATAACCATATGCATTTACATATAGGCAAAGGACATATGGGGACAAAAAAACTGCTAACAAGAATTATGAGACAACAAATCTCCAAAAATGCAGTTTAGGGCCCTGTATGTTTACTACCTACTGCTGGTTATTGAATCCTCTCTTAAGAGTGGTTTGTATGTGCAGCAAGTCTCCACTGCATGAAGCACATCATTCGTTTTGTTTCAGGTATTAATTGGACCTATATTCTGGATTTGGTATGAGGTCTTGTGAAAGGTTTCTCTGTTCTAGTACCAAATGATAGTCTCAGAGCAGAGACCTATTAATGTAACAGCCTCACTTTTTCCATTTTGTTTTCTTCAAGAACCACACATACTATATGCTCTAATTTAATTCTCGTTTCAGGTACATATTGTTTCTATTGTGTATCGAATACATTCATTTACTCTTCCATCTCTGGACATTCCAGTATATGAGATAAAGCAAGGTAAGGTGACTGTCCATATTCACGTGGGAAGAGCTTTACTATCAAGTATATAGTCAAGGATACTTACATCCTTCTTTCATAAAAAAGTTAAGTTATACTCAAATGGATGCTGATGCATAGTAAGTTTGTAAGAATTCAGTATCTATTCACTACATAATTCTACTAATTTTTACTGTAATCTGCAAATGTAATATTTCAATTATTGGAGTTAAATAAATTATTTTAAGCTTAATTTTCAATTTATATATAAACAATATATAACAAAATAATAATAAATTATTATTTTGACTTAGGATTGTATATTGATGAGCTCCTATAATTTTTCCTATGAAATGTAACGTCCCAAAAAATATCTGCTTACGCTAATGATAATGGAATTTTTGGGAGAGATTGGACAGTAGCCGTAGAGAACTCTGAATGTAATCATCCTTAGGTACTCAAAGATATGCATGCTTATGTCACATCAGCTCCTACAGACACATCATTGGGATTACAGTTTTGAAGTACAACGAATAAAAAATTGCCATGGGACCATTTATTATTTTGTGATTTTTATCTGATTTATTTTTGAAATTTTCATATATATACCTAATAGTGCCTTATCAAATAAACCATTACTCAGCCAAACATCTTTTCAAACTTTACATCCTTGAAGCATGGTTAAGAAGGGCTCAGAAAGAGAAACTGGGGTTCAATCTAAGGATATGAGAAGCAAAACAGCCAGCCATCGGCTTTTACTTCAACTTCCATTCGAAATGTTGATCCTGCCTCCATGAATCTCAGAATGAAAGTATATCAGAGAGCTTCCTCCTCCCATTTTATAATCCTCTCCTGGGCTGGTATTAAAGACGTGCACCACTGTGATTTAAGGCATGCACTTTTCCCTTTCTATGACAACTATTGTGGCTACTTGATTAATGGTGTGTGCAACCATTGCATGGTCTGTAAGGCTGACCCATGGGGCTGTTTTACTCTCTAATCTTCAGGCAATCTTATTTATTAAAATAAAATTGAAATTCAACTACACATCCTCCTTCTATAATAATTGATTTGCTTATCCCTCAGATCCAGTTATATGGGCAAAAGAAAAGAGCATTCCATTTTTCTTGATCACAAAATGAGCGACGTTGAAAGGGCAGAAAGCAGAGTGTCTCAGAGGTGTGTCTATCCAAGAGGCCACAACGAAACTTAGGACATGACAACTGTCCATAACACAAGACAGATTTTTACTGATAATATTAATACATGCTATGCGTAGAGCAGAAATTTGTAACATATGAGAATGAAGCTATTAGTACTGTGATAAATTTTCACAATGGTATAATTAAGAAAATTATTATGGTAGTTTTCTCTTTATTGTAGAAAGAAAACAGCTAAGAAAGCTTGTACTTCCTGCTTACACAGTTAATATTCTTTCCTTCTCGGTTCTCTGAGGCAAAGGAGGATGAGATAGGTTTAGTTATTGCTTTCCTTCTCACAAGATTCAGAGAACATGTTTACTAAAAAGAGTATATATGGTTCAGAGTCATTAGAGACAGTTTGGTAATGCAAGTTAGAATAGAAAGTGAGTTAGGTACTACCTTTTCTTCTTGCCTAATTAGGATAGATAATGGAGTATTTTCTCCAATTTTTTTAAGCTTAATGAAGTTACCAAGGTTATATGTGATTAGATATGCATATTTTTATTGATTTTTATTAAGCTCTACATTTTTTTCTGCTCCCTTCCCTGCCTCTGTTCTTCTCCCTTCAACCATTGCCTAAGCTGTCTTTCTTACCCACAAAGATTGTTCCACAAAATGACACTTGTGCTTATAGAGCATATCACCCACTTCAGGGTATACTTAATTTTTATTCTGTCCTCTACAGTGATTCTGGACTTAATGTAACTAGGTTAGAGAAAAGAAATGAAGAGAGAACAGACATTCAGACACATGTATTGAAAATCTGGGAGTCCATAGGCTGTACTTGCTTTGGTGAAGGTAATTCACTGTGACAGGCTTGTCAGTGCACTTAATGTAAACATCTGGATCCAGGAGGTGTGTTTCCTGTATATGGCTGAGAGAGTCAGGTTTATGGTATATGGAAGAAAAAGGAGACAAATGAAACTAGTACTGCTAGTAGGTTTTTCGAAATATCATCACAGACTGTACTTATCCATTTAGGAGGAAGGTAACTAGGAAGATAGATTTACTAATCCACTGAGTCTCACCTGTGTATGGTTTTGACAACCCCATGAGTTTGAGGCATTGGAACCTAGCTATGGCTATATCAATGTCAAAAAATACTCAACACATTCTCTCAGAACTTCATCATATATCCACAAGTGTTTAAAATATACTTTTCAGTGTATAAGTTTTGGAACTTATTGATGTTTGGATTGTATTTTTAGATAGTACATCTTCAAGGTTTTTTTTTCATACAAGCATGTACATGAAATTGGAGGCTATAATTAACTGTTTGCTGTCTCTCTGTATTGGTCTTCATTTTACTTTTTCATAAAGAATTTCTTATAGTAATGCATTTATTTGGTATAGGCAGACTAGTATTTTGTGTATTTATGATTCAATTATCTTTTTTAGTTCCTGAATCCTATCCCAAGCATTTGAAGCTGCTGTGCTACATAGGGACAAGTTGTGTTCATCGTAAAGAGCCTGACCCTGAGGATCAGAGTAAGTCCCTCACCCAGAATTTGATCTTGGGAAAGCTCAAGTCCTTATGCTTTTTCTTGTTGCTCTAAAATTTTCACTTCTTCTCTCTACTAACACTTCCAAAGTAACAGAGGTCCATTTTCTAGGACCACTGAGATTAACTGAGTCCTGTCTTGTGGCATTGCTTTGTTGCATGAAGTCCACGTTTTGACCATTTCCCTATTGAAGGATGAAAGTATTCCATATGATACAATTGTTTGTTTAATTTCCTTTATATCAGCTATACGTATGGACTTGATTACCTTAGGATAGGTGCCAGATGTTCTTTCTGATGATATCATCATAAAAGCAGGTAAACTCTGCGTAAGGTATTCCGGAGTTCGGTACATACTGATGAGTTTAATTTTTTTCTTTGTACCTTGTCTTTGCTCATCAAATTTGATAAATTTCTCAATCTTTTCAAATTTGTTTACCCATGTTTTTTGTGGAGTCTGGATCTCCTGTCCAGTGTTCTGTTCTAATGCCCTCAGTGAGGATTCCCAGGTTAGATGTCTGTCCAGTGAAAATAATGTCTCATCCTTGGATATCATTTTTGTAGTATGCATATTGCCTTCCTGGAGAGACATACTGTCAGTCAATCTACCATAACTCTTTGACAGAGTCTGGTAAATACATTCAACAATATGAATTCTCTCAGGCAATGTCTCAGCACCCTCTGTCATTGTCTGGGTTTAGTTTTGTCAAATTGGTGGTATCATTTTCCTGAGTGCTGAATTTCTCTTTTAGTTGATCATTATCAGTCTGTAAAGAGTGTATCAGTTCTAAATGTGCCTCATTTGACTGGGTTTTGTTTGTCAACTTGGTTGTATCCTTCTCCAGAATGCTGAATTTCTCTTATAGTTGGTCATTATCAGTCTGTAATACTGTATTATTTTTAAAAATTCCTCATTCTTGGCCCTGTTATAAAACCATGCTTTTAAAGAGAAAAAAGCAAGGACAAAACTAACCTTCAGATTTAAGTAGAGAGATACAGAAGGGAAGTTGCTTGAGTCTTGCATAACATCATACATGATATAAGTAAGAAGACGATTGAGCCTCTGCATTTTTAACTGTTTATTATCTTGCCCTTTTAAATTAAAAATTTATAATTTATGTTTTAAAAATATAGATCTTACCAGTGGTTGAGTTCTAACTGGAGTTAGTACAATAACCATTACCTGCCAGTAGGTGTCATGACACTCTTGAAGCTGTGTGGTTGGTTTGAATCTGATTATATTTTTAAAAGCTAAAATATAAGCTCAGAATAAAAACAGTTATGTAGTGTAAATCACAGACTGTATGCTTCACAGATATCCATGACTGGTACGTGACGACACTAGCAAAAAGAGGGGAAGAAAGCAGAGAATACGACATCCCTTACTGGACCAAGAAGCCAGCCACAGAGTCACGAGTTGCCAAGGCTCTCTGAGATGTTTAATGATAAAATATGAAGGACAGCTAGGCAGGAATTCTCTACTCAAATGAATGGTGTGGACCTGATGGCAGCTGGCTAGAGCCACTGGAGACCTGAGCCCCATGAGTCAGGGTGTCAACTGTAGAAATTAGCTCAATTTGGGAAATAACCAGACCCACTAAAAGATAAAGCAATTATATTTTTGTTTATTCTAAGGGGAAAAAAAACCTCGTGAAGCAGGTGCTGTGTGGGAAGCACAGAGAGTTCATGTGGGCCACGTGCCCTTTTTCTCTGGGTCCCAGTAAGCCTCACACTAACTTCTGCCCAGCTCTTCAAGATAATTTGTTAGCAAAGCTTTCACAGTGGTCAGTAATTATCTCTGTGCACTATGAGTCTCTTAGAGTAGGCAGTTAATGATAGGATATCTGGGAGTAGGGAAATCTTGACCCAGTTTAACTGTCCTTAATTTCTGGGATGGAGGCAGCCTACAAAGTAATCTTGAAGCTTTATTGAAGTGCTGAAATAAGTGATCCAAGATATGATCTGAGATCAAATTTGGCAAGGCCAGAAATTTGAGTGTAGACAGCTTTAGCTGTTAGTACGGAAACTGTGGGCTCTGTGTCAGAAATTTCAATTAATTATAGATCTCCTGAGTGGTTTTACTTTTTTTGTCTAAAATTACAAGGGTACTGGGATATTCCCCTTCTTCTTCTTGAGAGATATCAAGTGGAGGCATGTTCATATATCAAAGCTTTATCACCAGAGTCCCAGAGAATAATTGTGCACATGTATCTTTACCTTCCTTTTGGTTTAAAAGGAGTAAGATGTTTAAATTAGAAAAGTGAAATTATACAGCAGGACCAGTATGTCTTTACCTATACTCTGTAAGATGACAGCTATAAATTTTCAGGTAAGCCTTTTGTATATGTGCCCCATCTCTATTCCTGATACCTTATCAGCAAAGACTCTCAATTACCCTGTCTTTATGCATTACTAGCAGTTTTATGGCTACTGAAGCAAATAAATCAGTTTTTTAATAGTAGAATTCTGATAGTTCATTGCCCAGCTGCTCAAACTCAAAATAATCACAAATAAAGTATATTACTTGCAATACTGTTTTTCTTTTTTCTTTTTTTTAAGGGAGAAATAAGTTTTATTTCATTTTTCGTTCCTTGAACGTTTCACACATGTGCACAAGGACATGTGACCACACATGTCTTCATTTCTTTTTTTTTATTGAGAAAAGAAGAAAAAAAAACAAGTTTCCACATCCTCCAAGCCTCCCATTTCCCTCACCCTCCTCCCACCCTACACCCCCACCTCCCTCCCTTCTCCCCCTCCCCCCACTCCTTTCCCCCTCCCTCTCCAGTCCAAAGAGCAGTCAGGGTTTTCTGCCCTATGGTAAGACCTAGGACCTCCCCCCTCCGTCCATATCTAGGAAGGTGAACATCCAAACTGGATGGAAATAGAAAACACTATCCTGAGTGAGGTATCCCAGACCCAAAAAGATGAACATGGGATGTACTCACTCATAATTGGTTTCTAGCCATAAATAAGGGTCACGGAGTCTACAATAGGTGAATCTAAAGAAGCTAAGTAAGAAGGGGAACCCAAGGAAAAACATATAGTTATCCTCTTGGCTAAGGGAAGTAGACAAAATTGCCGGGGAGAAAATTGGGATATTGGTGGTGGGGTGGGATGGGGGTAAGGGGAGATGGGGAGAGAAAAGTTAGAAGGGAAGGAGGTCGGGCCTTGGGAAAACAGGAGGATTGGGATAAAGGAAGCTTGGACATGGGAGCACGGAACCACAATTCTTAGTTAAGGGAGCCACTTTAGGGTTGGCAAGAGACCTGACCCTAGAGGGGCTCCCAGGTGCCCAAGCCGAGGTCCCCAGTTAGTTCCTTGGGCAGCTGAGGATTGGGAACCTGAAATGACCCTATCCTAGAGCAATACTGACGAATATCTTGCATATCATCATAGAACCTTTATCTGGTGATGGATGGAGATAGAGACAGAGACCCACACTGGAGCACTGGACTGAGCTCCCAAGGTCCCAATGAGGAGCAGAAGGAGGGAGAACATGAGCAAAGAAGTCGGGACCAAGAGGGATGCACCCACCCACTGAGACAGTGGAGCTGATCTATTGAGACCTCACCAAGACCAGCTGGACTGTGACTGAAAAAGCATGGGATAAAACTGGACCCTCTGAACATGGCAAACAATGAGGGCTGATGAGACGCAAAGGACAATGGCACAGGGGTTTGATCCTACGCAATACTGTTTTTCTAATAGCTTTAGCATATTTAAAGCCAGCTTATACATCTTAAATTAGCCCACTTATTATTTTGTTTTCTACCACGAGGCTTATGGTTTACTAAAATTCCAGTGGGTGTCTGTCTTCTGTGGCAGTTACTTGGTGTCACCTTGCCTCTGCCTACTCTCTATCTAAATGGCTTTTTATATTTTCTTCATGTTTATGCTCTGTTAAGCCATTTGCAGAAATCAGCTTATTTATTAACCAATGGTAATAAAGCATATTAAGAACATACGAAGGGGAATACCATATCATATTTGACCTCTTGCATCTAGAGAGGTATAGACAGATGATGTACAAGGGGAATCAGTCTTTAATAAACTGGCCTGTGTTAACCCATAGAGATACTTGTCCAACCATCGTGAAGTCTCCAGGGAAGTCCGAAGATAGAGGACAGTAGAAACAGAGCAAGTATTTCTGAGAAAACTAAGGATAAGAAAGTCTATGTATGAAGCCCAAGTAATTAGGCCTAAAAATATTCTGTTCATATCAAGAGCTTTGAGCCTATCATGGACATTTAGTATCTTTGCTGATCCCTTTATTCCATTGTATCACTTTTTTTCTGTGTCCTGCAGAATGCCTAGCAGATTCTTTCATGAAGCAGGAACCCCGAAGGACCTTCTCAAGTTTAGACAAGTTCAGCAGTCATTTCTCTGTGGGTCCTACATTCCAGTTAAGCAGTTCAGGTAAGTGCAATTTCTTGCCCAAATGGCCAAGGAGACTTTTTGATGCCCATCTTCATCTTGAAGTAGCTTGATGCTACCAGGAGCAGATATATCTCACTGCCATAAAATGCCCTAAGTTATTAAAACATTTTAAATGGAATATTCTGAAGGTCTCTGAAAGATTTAAGGAATACCTATGTAATTGAAATATATCTCTATACAGCTGGAAAATCTAACTAACACGAGTACAAGCTTGACTATTACAAATGTTGATCTATTAACTTATTTCTTAATTATACATTATATTTTAAATGAGCCACGCAAAATCAATACCTTAATCAGATCAGAAATACATATACATATAACAAAATTGACCTTAAATTCGTGTCAATAAACCAGGATCCATATCAATGCAAATAATTCATATCTATATCATATCCCCTTTGAAATGTAAACATTTAAAAACAATATTTGGGAATACAGGTGTAGTTTTTCCAAACTGTCTCCTGCTGTTTATTGGGAAAAGTATTTTCACTGTGGGGGTGTTTACAACAACCTTTCAGGGGGTCTTGTTCCATCAAACCATATGTGTCTGGAAGCAATTCATAGCTTCTTATCTTCTGTGAAAACAAAAGAAGAACCTCTTTTCCAAAGCAACACATCCTTAAACTCAAATTTTGGAATCAAGATACCTTTATGTTAGTTTAAAATAGCAGTCCATATAATAAATCTCTCTCTCTACTTAACTCCTTCATAGTCAAAATAAAAGTCCAAGAAAAACACAATAGTATACATAATCCAGACTCTCTGTGAATTTTCCATCTTTCCATGGCTTATTCTTTGTTTACTCCTTTTAATCTGTGACTTTCTGTACTCTGTCTCTTTAAAGACTTTACCTTTTTTAAAAAAAACTTACTTCTTTTTAATACTGTTTATATTCTTTTTCTTCTCTCTCCCCAGCCTATATACATTTATCCAACACTATGACCCATTTATAGGTATTTTTTATCTGGATTTGTCTTTATAGCATATTTGTAATTATTTTCTGACCAGAAGCGCTTCTTAAAATGCTAAGTGCTTATGTCTCTAAGCTGCGACATTACTAGGTCACATACGGTATTACCTGGTGCCATGCCAATTCCAAAATGGTGAAGCTGCTCACTGCTTCTAAGAGCCATACAGACCGCCCCACTTTCAGTCACAAAGCCAGTCCACATTGCCATCAACCAAGTCACAGCACGCTTGACACAAACTCCATCCATATGCTCTGTTTCCTGAAAGAGCCCGAGGTCATGCTGGCAACACAGTCCAGAAAGCCAGTATTTCCATGGCATTTTGTTTGTTTGTTTTGCTACCATTGAATCAGGAAAATCTCTCTTAAAGGAGCTGTGGCACACTGCCTGCAAACACCAAGAAGCTGTGTTAAGCTCTGTATTTTTGTGTCTCGAGTTTCCTTCTAAGGCCTCTCAGGTTGGATGTGGATTTAGATAGCCACGTTGGTGCCAATTTGTTGTATGGAGACACTTGTTTGTTCCCAGCTGCTCAGCCCCGATATAATCACACAGAAAGTTTATTAATTAAATCACTGCTTGGCCCGTTAGCTTTAGGTTCTGATTGGCTAACACTTACATATTAATTTAACATATTTCTATTAATCTGTGCATCACCAATGTTTTGACCTACCAGCAAAGTTTCACCATGTCTATCTCCAATGACAGCTCCATGGCATCTCTCCTTTCTCCACCTTCCTTCTCCCAGCATTCAGTCCAGTTTTCCCTGCCTACCTTGTTCTGCCTTATCAACAGGCCAAGGCTGTTTCTTTATTCATTAATTGATAAAAGCAACGCATAGACAGAAGGATCACTGACACCACAATTACTTGGTGTTTTAAGTTTGGGTATCAAGATGATAATCACTTTTTCCTTATCATGGCAAAAAAAGTTGTTTTCCTCCTTTTTGGATTGGGTTATTTAAAGACCATAAGAAATAAAGCTGTGTACAATCAGTATCCACTTCCCTGCCCCCTTGTTACTATTTGTATTTCATTGGTATCTCTGATTATCCTTCCTAGGATTTCTAATTCTCATGTCCCTATGTGGAATATATGTACTTGTCAAGTCTGGACCCTGAGAGTTGTTGCCACAATGTGTGGCTATTACAGATGTCATTCAGCATGGGGTACAACAGATGGAGAAGGTGTTGGACACCACAGATGAATGAGAAACCACAGGTTTATGTAAAAAAAAGGAGCAGTCAGATAAAAAAGTAAAGTTAGAGTATGGTAAATAACTCAGCAGTAAAATTGTAAATATTTGTAGAAATGGAGCAATGAAATAGTATTAGCTATTTGTATATTTGCTAAGATGTATTTTGATATCCAGAGGAGCTGGGGTGGAACAGACAAAATGCAGAGATTTCTAGAATTTGTAGCTTTTGTAAATCTCTGACACTTGTGGCAGAGCCATGCCATTCTCAGGCTCTTCCTTGGTTTGAAGGAGTAAAAGTGGTGAGCCCATGCTCTGACTGACTTTTCAGCAGCTGTTGTTACCACTGGCCCGCCAGATAATTGTGAGCCAAGGTCACTGTTTCCCAATGGGACAGACAAGTGACAGAGAACACAGATAGATGCCCTCGCCTGGCAGTCGGCTACAAAATGCAGCCTCAGGGAGCCAAGAGCCTGATAACAGTAATCCGGTATGTAAAGGTTCTTTAAGTTCTTTTAGAAAGAAAGATGATATCTCTGATCATATTTAGATTATTCAGATATTGGCCTCTGATATACATAGATGTAGCTGCTGCTTTTTTGAAAAGTTAAAGAAGTTCTCTCTCAACATAGAAATCAAGTTAAGGTAGATAAGTGAGGAGAGGTTGGATTTGGTTCATCTGATACCTATTGGCTATAAGACACTGGTCCACGATGATCAGAACTCACTTCTTGTATAAAAGGTGAAGCTTTTCTGGTCATCTATATACTGGTGCAGATATTTTTGCTGTAACGGCCAGCCAATGGCCTTTAAGGTGGCCTAAAATGGAGACTATTACACAGTTGTGTGGGATAGGTCAACCTCAAAATCCTAGAAAAACTAGCAATGAACTTTACTGGAGAGATGGAGTGTATTATGAAGGAACTTTTTGGCAATACAATGTTTGTCATTTACCTATAAATTTCAGGGACATAGAAATTATGACCCATATGTGGGTATATTTATGTTACCCCAACACAGTTATTGTTAATCAAACATTTCAGGAAGGGTTGTTTCAAATCATGGGCTGGGCAAGAATGAGTGACAGATTGATCTCATCATACTTATCCGAAGTCCTCCCTGACAGGATTTTGGTATTTTCAGGAGAAGTCACTGAAAAGCCTACACTTCATGCAGACCCAATTTTTGGGAAAGTGATGAGTGGATAAATCAGTGGTCTATAAAGGATGAAAAATTATAAGCTTCCCAGCAGATAGTTCAGGAACAACTGTAACACATTACACATTAAACCCTCCATTTCTCCATGTAATTCTCCTGGTTTTAGGATTAAAATGAAATTAGGAAATTGGAGATTAATACAAGATTTAAGAGAGGTTAATGAGACTATGCAGCCAATTTGTATGTTACAGCCTTGGTTGCCTTCTCCTACAGCCAAACCAAAAGATAGTTTTAAGATGACTTAAGATTTGAATGATAGTTTTTATGTTATCTGTTTTGCACCACAAGATTGTCAAAGATTTTCATTTTTATTCCATTAGTTAATTTTAAAGAACCAATGAGAAGATATTATTGGAGCATCTTGTTTCAGGGTATGACAAATATTGCTACATTCTGCCAGAAATTATGTTATATATAAATCAGTGGCTCAGGCTATATGAAGTGTCAGAGATCAATTTCCACAAGTTTATATTGTCCATGATATTGATGATATCTTGCTTTCCCATAAAAAGAAAGAGTTTTGCTTGAGACATATGGACAATTTCAGCAGATTCTTACGCAAGCAGGGTTATTTATTGCTTCAGAGAAAGTATAAAGACACCCACCATCCAGGTATTTAGGTAATATTTTATAGCCTAAAGAAATTAGGCCTGAAGAATTGTCAATGAGGAAGGATAGCTTACAGATCCTGCATGATTTTTAGAGAATGTTAGGAAATATTCAGTGACTGAGACCTTATTTTAATTCCCTATAAGAGACCTTAGACCACTAAATAAAATTCTTAAAGAAGCAGTGACCCAGATTTCACCAGACACCTCATAGACACTGCTAGACAGGTACCTGAGCAGGTAGAAAATGCATCACAGAAAGAGCAAATTGAACCCCACACTTGCAAAGTGAATTCTGTGTCCCAAGACATAATATGGATTGGTATGGGAGTTCCTTCTGTCTGTGTATTGCTTTACTTGCTTAATGAATAAAAAAAAACTATGTTGGCATGTTGATAGGGCAGAAATTAGGTAGGCAGGGAAGACAGAACTGAATGCTTGGAGAAGGAAAGAGTCAGGGAGATGCCATGGAACGACTGCCAGAGGTAGATGTGCAAGAACTTTACTGGTAGGCCACAACCTTGTGGTGATACACAGATTAATGGAAATGGGTTAAATTAACATACAAGAGTTAGCCAATAAGAAGTGAGAGCTAATGGCCCAGACAGTGTTTTAAATAATACAGCTTCTGTGAGATTATTTTTGGTATAAGCTAGTCGGGTGGCCAGTAAGAGCAAGCAGCCTCTTCCTCCAACAATTAATAAAGGGCCGATCACACAGTCAGCAATCTTGGGTAGGCTCCTAAATAAACAGGACTCATTATGGTCAGGAAGTTTGTAATATAGGTCCACCAATAAGCTGTGAATTACCAACAATCACATGATCCTCCTTCCTTTCTCAGACTGCAGCAGAACATTACAGGGTCAGGAATGCAGACTCAGTAGTTGCACTTTGACCCTTCTGAGGTGGCAGGAAGTTCTTGGCTTCTTTTCATTCTTGTTCACATACACATATACATATTTTTTAGAACTTTTGAGAAATATTTTGCCTACTATATTTTTGGCATTATTAAGATGAGTTAAATTATAATTAGTAAGTGACATATTTAGATTCTTGAGCATATATCAAATCATTTTATATTTATATACGTGTCTGTATGGTTCTGTAGAAATTTTAGAGTTAATCATTAAGACAAAGGGAAGATACATATGGGCATCTGTATGCCCACTGTACCCAATCTTTATATTACCTGTGAATATTGTATTTATAGTAATATTAATACATCTTTTATAGGAATTTGATATTTTTAAACATTATTTTGATTTCACTAATTATATGAAAATTATTTTTGCTTAAGTATACACATTTTACAAGTACTCTCTAGTTGTTTTAAACATTTTCTCCTTTCCTTCTGTGATGTAGACACATAAAATCATGCTGCGGAAGATGATCTTAGACTCAGGCACTGAAGAGGTCCTTCGCCACCTTCTACTAAAAAGGTTTTGATGAAATCACAGACCACACACCTAGCTAGTTTTACTGTAATTTCAGGCGCTTTCTGCCTTTCATTTTTCATTATTCATTGCCTGTCTGTAAAACTCAACTGATTTTTAATATTTCAGTGCATTAGCATGTTTCCTGACCATATTTTTAATCCATATATTTTATTCATGTGTTATTATTTCTCTGGAGATCACACTATGTAATTTCCACCTAGAAATAGCTAATATTTCTTGGTATAGAAACACCTACTGCTCATTTTCTCCACTAATTTTCCTGGAGATAGTGATCAGTAAATGTTCAGTGAAGTGGCATCCACTTGTATCCTTTACTTTCTTACTTTTGGGAAAGTATTGAAACTTTTAGGATTCTAGGTATTAGCTTTCATTTAAACTCATGAAATTTCACAGATGTGGTAGAAGATGACTGGGGGTTTACATAGAATAGACAGCCATCTGAATAATGATAACACAAATGAACATGGTAAGTTGACAAAGAAGAGCCCAGAATGACTAAAATCTACACATAGCACTGCATGCTACTGAGGAAATCTGGAAAAGGGATGTGTCATTAATAAAGAAGAGAACAAAATTTTGTTATTTACTACCAAGAGTTCTGCTTTGAAAACAAACATGCAGGTATTGTTAACAGAGTTATCGGGTTATATTTAAGAATAAATCTGTATTTGTATACATATATGCACCCAGCAACAATAATAGAAAAGTGAGGTCACAAATTTGAAGGAGAATGTATAGAGGTGTATGGGACAGTATGAAAGAGCAAAGAGAAGGGAGAAACGTAATTAAATTATAGTCTCACAAATAAAAAAATGGAATAACCTATTACATACACAGACATGCAGACACACACACATGCGTGAACACATATGCACACACATTTGTGCACAAACATATGGATGCCCCAAACACACATTCAGACAGAAAAAGAGAACACAAAGTTCTCAAAATTAGCACAGAATAGTTTGACTAGGAATAGGAGAGGATTTTTCAGTTAGGTTATGGATGGTAGCTTTTTACAAATATAATATTTATGTATTTATAGTGAGTAAAATATTTTTAAGAAATGAAGTCGCCAGGGAAACTGTAGTAGAGTTTATATTCTATATGTTACCAACATGTACACATGGCTTCACATCTGATACCACACTGAATGTTCATACACACACATGCAGAAACACACACAGCACTATATATATATATATATATATATATATATATATATATATATATATATATATGCACATATGCATACACACAAAGAAGCAAGTTATCACAGTTAGCATAAATAGTGATGGTAAGGATGGGTGGATTTTAGATTATGTTATGGAGGATTTTTACAAACATACAATGTTTTCATCTTTGAATTATATAAATTATTATGCAGAAATGAAGACACCAGACAAACGTTAGCAGAGTTTATTCTCTGGATGTCACCTACATGAACAGGTATGTGCCTTCTCCACATGAAAACTACTCTGCATACGTATACACACAAACACACACAGTTCAAGTGTGCGTGAGAGAGATAGGTTAAATACATATTGAATTTGACAGTTTCTTTTTCTAAAACACCACTTAAATTATTTTTTCACTGGGTATTTTGATGAACTTGGGCTCAACAGCACCATTCATATCTTTATTGCAAGCACTGTTGTTATGGCACTGTAATATTCATAAAGTTCTAATCCAGGGTGATGACTCATGAATATAATCAAGAAACTTGGGATAACTGACACAGGCACAGTGCAGAGGGTCAGTACCAATCAGAATGAACCAGTACAAAATGGACGATTTCTGGTCAATAGCCAGTTTCTAGGTCCAAGCAGCCTGATACGCTCACCCTTAGGTGAATATAGCTTGTTTTCTCTGTTCTCAATGATAGTCAGAGCCCAGGTTAAATGACTTTTTCTCCCGACTTTGTCCTGTCAATTCTCTGCTTCTGCTGCAACAGATAGGGAGATGAGAGAGAAACAAAATAGCTGCCTTTGATGGAAAGCTCCCAAGTTACAACAGGCTTTGATTTCTGTACCTAGGATTGAGTGCTCCCCCTCTCTCCATTGAATGTTCCAAATCCATTCTGTATTTGATTGTACACACTCAGTCAGTCACAGGCAAACTTCACACAGGGCTTTTGCCAGTCAGACTTCTGGTTTTAGGTTCTAGTCAGGTCTTCCCTACAACCTACCTACAAGTGAAGGAGAGCTGCTTCTGAGACCTGAAAGGAGACACAACCAGTGGAAATACAGTGGGTACTGTGGGACTGGCATGGTGGGCTTTCCTCCATTTCTTCTCTGAGTGATTTTATAGTATTTTATCTGTTGGAAATGTATTCCCACATCTGTATTTAATCCTCAGGCTGATTTTCTTTTAGAATACATCATTTTTACCTCTTATTGGATTCTGGCTTTATCTGAAACTGGGTGATTTAACTCGATATCAATATCCAATGGAGAGAGGGACCTCTTGCTTTTCACACAGTTTTTATGCACCTACTATGTGTAGAATTGATTATTGTGTATAGTTCTCACCCTGACACCCTGAGACTATGAAGCTTAGAGCTAGAACATTTGCTGATATCCCTCTTTGTCAAGTAGGTTTTTTTCATTGATGATTGTATTTCATACCGTATATTACTATTTCTGTTTCCCCTCACCCAAATCCTGCTAGGCACCCCATGTTTACCATCCACCTACCCAATCTACACTCTCTGTCATTCTTTATAATATAAGGGCATACTACTACTACTATGATTAATACTCCTAACAACAACACTATTTATGGTAAATTTTAATACAGAAACCAGGTTAGAATGAAAGAAGTAAATAAACAATCAGGAGATAAATAGCCAAAGAAAAGCTACAAGAATCACATAGATATGATACAAAAAAAGATTTTAATCACAGGAATCTTATAAAAATATAAAACTGGAAACCATTAATACGTAGACAAGGGCACTGCAAGGTTAAATAAAAAGCCCCGATAAAGTGCTTTGAGACAAATAACCTCTAAAAATGCCATTGAGTACTTTTTGTGGAGCCATTTACTTGAAGGCCCTGCCCTTCAGAGGGATTTGTATATGCAGGGAGAATTCAATGGTGAAATTCAACTTTTGATGTACTTTGATTATCAATTAGTTATAGCTTCTGATTTAGAGGTGGGGGTTTGTTCTGACACTCTTTTCCCTGGTACCCAATGAACATCTCTCAGGGAGAAGAGAACTGTAACAATGACATCCTACCTCATTACCTTTCTACTACTGTCATGATTCTCGCATAGTCTACTTTCCAAGACAGGTTCTGTTGTCAGGTGCCGATTGTTACCACTGTGCAGCTGTTTACTCCTGCTCTCTGTTCCCTGTATTATTTGAGATTAAACGTGTAAGAGGCCGGCTGGTTCACACTCTCAAGGAAGGAACATTTCACCAAAATATTCTTTCTCTTTTATTTGTGATTATGATTTTATTATATTTCCCCTTTCCTTTTTATTTATACCCTTCTAATTATAAATTAACACTCTCTTTCTAATACATGTTCTATTTTTCACTAGTTGATATTGCATATATATATGCTATTCTGTCTATATAATATTGCTTGTAACTTTCTTTTTAGGAGTGATTGTTTAGAGTTGTAATCATCATTTTGCATCTAACATGAAGCAATCAACAGCTGTTTTCACCTGTCTTTTCAGGGAGGTAAGTCATATAATTTAATGAAGTTAAATTAATTTGAGTTGCTTCTTGAAATCATGAATCATTTTCATTTATATTTCTTACAAATCATCCTGTGGCTATGTACACCCTATGCCATTTATTCTTCATTTTTCTAATGCAGCAACACTTTAATACAGTTTCCTATGTTGTGTTGACCCCCAGTCATATTGCTGTTTGTGTTGCCACTGCATAACTGTTATTCTGCTACTGCAATTAATCATAATGTCAATGTCTGTGTTTCCTTGTGGTCTTAGGTGACACTAGTGACAGAGTGGTTTGCTTCTGAAGGGGTTAAGACTGAAAGATTGAACACCATGGTGGTATGTAAATTTTATTTTTTTTTCGTGTTTCCTTTCTTATGAAATATTTTAAGAGGGTAAGAGTTCAGGTTCAGGATAATTGTAAAGTGACACACATTAGAAATATCTCAGCAAATGAAACAACAATGAAAATATTTCTTCACTTACAGACCTGAGTAAGAAACTCACATGCCTCAAAGTTAATGGAATAACAGATTGAATACACAGCAGGGAATGTTGAAGTTATAATTAGATGCAGATACCCATATAGCTGATAATTAGGTAAATAGGTGCAGAAGAGGAAGTGACCAGAGTGTAGTCACTTTCTTTTTATCATTCATACATGCTTTGAAAAACGTCTGCTTCCCGTTCATCATCAGTTCAGAGTGAACGAATGTCAGCCTGAGAGACACACGACTTCCAGGCCCATTAGCCCTCTGTCAGATGTGGGGTTAGTGAAGATCTTTTCATATTTTGTACTCTGCTGTTTCGTCTTACTGACAGTATCCTTTGTCTTACAGAAGCTTTTCCATTTCGGCAGGTCCCACCTATTAATTGTTGATCTCTGTGCCTGTGCTACTCATGTCATATTCAGGACATTGTCCCCTTTGCCGATGAATTCAAGGATACTTCCTACCTCATAGTATGTGCTCATTCATAAGTAGATCTTAGATGTAAATTAAAGGATAGCCGGGCTAGAATCCATCGAGTCAGAAAAGATAAATATCAATGAGGGACCGAAGAGAGATACATGAGTTTTCCCTGAGAATGGGAAATAGAAGAGATCCCCTGAGTAATCTGGAGGTGGGGGTGATGTTGAGCTGTGGGGATATGGGGATTCAGGTTGTGTGGATTGGGACTGGGATGAATGGAGGGAATAATGAAAGAGATATCTTGAATGGGGAGCATTTTGTGGTTAGGGGAAATCTGATGCCAGTGAAACTCCCCAGGATTTATAAGAATTATCCCAGTTAAGACACCTATCAATAATGGAGAGTCTGACTTTACTGGTCTCTTATAATCAGATTGGTTACTATTCTAATTGTCATCAGAGAGCATTCATCAAGTAACCAATGGAATTAGATGCAGAGATCCATATCTGAGCACCCTGCCAATCTCCAGGGCCCTGTTGAAGAAAGAGAGGAAAGAATGTATGAGTCAGGGGTCAAGGTCAAGACAGGCAACCCCACAGAGCCACTGTACCTGAGTTCATTGTTGTTCTTGATCTCGGGGTTAATGGCTAGGGAAACCACATGGGACTAACCTAGGCTCTCTGCATGTGTGTGGCAGTTGTGTAGCTTGGTCTGTTTGTGGGATCAGGACCTGTTCATGGTGCTTGAGCTGTTTTTGGGGAACCCTATCCCAAAGCTTGTTTGCCTTGTCCAAACTTGATACTTGGTCCTGCCTCAACTTGTTATCCCTTGCTTTGTTGACTTTCATGGGAGGCCTGCCCTTTTATGAAAGGAGATAGAGGGGGGGAGTATTTGGGGGAAGCTAGAAGGAAGGTGCGTGGGAGGGGATGGGAACAGTGGGGTGTGGGGAAACTGTGGTCTATATATTACAGTTTCACACAAGGCATCTAGCATAAATTAATATAGGTGAAGACAATCAAATCTATCCCTTGTCAGTGCAAATTATGCCTCTAGACTAATCAATGTTTAATCTTCTTCTGTGAACAGAAATATTAAATAGTTGGGATGATTTTCATAGTTAGGACCTCTACCAGCATTCAGGTCCCATGGATGGCAGGTAGTATTTGGCACTAAGGTCCGAGAAGGAAACAGAGCCACTGTGATATTTCAGAAAATCAACCTAATACTGTAGGACTAGAGTACATGATCTCCCTGGACATTTACCATGGGTAGAGTGGAGCAAAAGGATTCAGGTTCACCAACACAATCATTGGTGTTGAAATGAAGGAATTTTATGTATAATAGTTAGTGCTTCCTGTCCATAGTGATATATGGAAGAAATAATTGATGCTGATAGATTGATTCTATGTTGAACATTGATTATTATTTGACTTAATAGCTCCTTGGTTTTGAAATCTTGATATTACTTGACACTTGTTCACAGATGACACTTGGTGTCCCAAGTGCTTTACCATGGTTATTTTTAATGTCATACTATTTAATATAGTGCATTGGCTCAGACATTTGCATTATTGATTACATAGAGTGAATATCCTTGAGGTCCTTGAATTGTTTTCAATGGATTTCTTTTCCCTTTAAGGTAAAATATTCCTGGGTCAGAATTTGGCTCAGTCAGTAGCATTCATACTTTGAAATTATGAACATCTGAGTTTATTTCTGGAAGAAACAGGTAAAATTCCAGAAATAGTATTCTGGGTATGCAATCCCAGGGAATGAATGACAGTGACAGATCTTTGAGTTTTGCAATATTTCCAAACTAGGTTACTTGGTGAATTTTAATGAATGTAACTGTTTCAAGGGAACCTGAAGATAGGAGATATTTGAATCAAAATAGTATTTTTTGAATGTAATTGCAAAGTTGCACACACAAGCTCCAAGCAGTTAAAACTGCACATACATGATTTGTATCAGGTCAAGTTAGCCAAAATCTCAGGATGGCTGTTATATGAAGTAATGAAGTCTTACTCCTATTTTAGTTGTCATTGGCATTTGACAAACTGCTGAAGAAGGATGAATTTATTTTTTTCAGTTATGTTTGATCTCAGAAAATACCCGGCTTCCAGGAGAGTTCTACTGATCCATTTTGACATAGGCAACCCTAAAAGAACTCAGTTTCTATGAAGAAATGAGGGAGCCTGGTCCCCATAACCCTATATTTTGACTGGTTATTATTTTCTGAAATAATTTTTCTGTTACAATGGAGAATTTCTTCAGTATGAAGGAAGCCTCCATTTTTTTTCGTGTATAAGGATAAAGTTTTAGAAGTTGCTAAGTTACATTAATAATTTGTGGATGTCACTTTTCCTTTCTTACCTATAAATTCAACTCCACTGAGTATTTAGATTTCTAATAGCAAGTAATCTCTCCCTGTTGTTGAGCAGGTCATGAGCACAAATAGAGGTGCATTGGATACCACCCAGATATGTGTGTTAGTACTGAAAACTTAAGGTTATTATGCCATGCTGTTCATTGAAGAAGTTCATAGCCATCATAGCCATCATAGCCATTTATGACATGAGATTCTCTTCCTCCTTCAGAAGCTTGCACAATCATAATGGATGCATCTACAAAACACTTCACACCTAGTGCTTATGGTACATTGTGGTGCACTGGCAGAAAAGTTGTGAGGAGCTAGATGATCAGGGAGAATGCTATGATATTGTGTGTCCCAGTAATATCAGAAACTCCACCTATAACCTTTCTACAATATGACCATAGAAAAATGAGATGAATAAGGATGACAGCAATGAACTGCTATACAGGAGAAAGAAAAGTCCACTAGGTCTGAAATGTACACAAACAACTTTAGGCAGTTGAGGAAAGCTTGAAATGGAAGATTTGGCCTTTTGCAGGAAAGAGCACAATTATTTGCCTTCTGCCCAAAATCCAGCTTTGAAAACATACATGCAGGTAGCATTAGACTTACTGATCAGTTTATATTTAATAACATATATGTATATATATATATGTATATATATATACAAAAACAGTTAGTGGAAAAGAGGCTATGAATTTGAAAAAAAAGCGTTAAGTGGTATATGGGAGGGTTTGAAGACAGAAACGAATATATGTTGTAATTAAATTATAATCACAAAAATAAAAATAGAGATAACAGCCAAACACTTGCATACACAAATGCACACGGACACATACATAAGCACAAGTACTGACAGATACACACGCAAACATATACACACACAAATAAAAGAAAGAGTTAGTTCTTCAAGTTAAAACACAAGAGTGATGTTAGAGATGGGGAGAATTATAGATTATGTTTTGAATGGTGGGATTTAGATATGCATAATATTTACATATTTATATTAAATAAGACATTCTAAAGAAATAAAGGCGACCGAGAAAACAGTTGAGTCTGTTTCTGTATATTACCTTTATGCACGGTTGTGCTCTTTCCTCAGAGTATAACTGCATGTGAACACACAAGCACCTAGAAACATAAACACACATGCACACACACACACATACATACAGATATAGTTGAAAGTTTTTTCATAGCACATATTAAATTATTTCTTGATATCCATGCTCATAGGGTACATTGCTTGACCAGGGGTAGAACTCAACATTTCTTTCTTTAATTTAATCCTCATTTTGTAGGTCACTCTAATACTTCCAATTTTATGTGATGGCTCATGTGTACATTTATAGCAGTTATGGAAGTCGGCATAGGAAGATAGCAAATATTCAGCAGCAATCTGCACTTAGCTGCCCAGGAGTGCTCATACAGAAATGCAGGCTTTCTCATAGGACGCCAGGATCTATTCCCAAGGAGCCAAGTACATGCTCACGCTCTAGGCACCCTTGATTGTTTTCTTCTGTTATCAATTGGAGCCAGATGTCATGTTAAATTACTGGTTTTCTGCCTTTCTAGTTTCAGTTTCCCTGTTTCTGTGGTAACATACAGGGAGGGGGAGAGATACATGCAATAGCAGCTAAGATAGAAATCTCCATAGTTACAGCAGGCCCTTGATTTCCATTGGTAGCTTTGAGATCTGTCTCTTGATTGGCCCATATCCATTCTCTAGATGACTGTACACACTCAGCCAATCAGGGATAACAGGAGATAATATCATTCCCTTCACAAAGGGTTTTTGTCAGTCGGGCTCCTGGCTGGAGACCAGCTCACAGCTGGTTCCTGGTTCTAGCCAGGACCTGACTATAACCTACTAGTCAGTGAAGGAGGATTGCTACTGAAACTTGTGAGGAGACAGAGCCAATTGACATCCAGCATAGCCAGGTACTTGCTAAAATTTCCCACATGCTGACTGTGTCACCTGCTCCTTTTTTCTCTGTGCAGTAAATGTGTCCCTGCTTCTTAAGCCACTGCATCCCTTTTAAGATACATCAATGTCCTGTAGCTTTGGATTTTGGCTTTATATGCAATGCATGGGATTCCTCTTCACCTTCAGTATCTAACCAAGACAGGAGACCTACTTGCTGCTCCTTACACTCCCTTCAAGGACCTACTCTGTGAATAATTTTCTTTAAGTGCACCTCTTATATGGAAACATGAAACTCTGACAGCTAATAGCTGAAGCATTTGCTGACACTATGTTTTATTTACATGTGGTCTTTTCCTTGTGTTGGACCTTATAGTCCAGTTACCGAGGAGAAGTCACCCCAAGAATACACTCTTACACTGCAGTTGATGTAAAAGCAAGTGTATTTTAATTCTGCCATGGCAGGGTCACTGAGCATCAATGCCAAGGACCCCAAATCTGTCACCAGCCACTTTTAAAGCAAAAAGCCATAGAAACAAAGGGGGGGGGGACTCGAGGGTTGTTTTTCAACTATTAGGATTGGTTTATTCAGGGGGCTTCCAATAACAAGTGGTCTGAGCCAGGGCTGGAGAGCAGTTGCCAGATCAGGCGAGGTAACAGGGAACATCTCG